TCTCTTACTTCAAAGTTAATTCTCATGCCCAATTACTGTTGGCACTGACTTTAGAACACTGCTCAAGAAACTGGCTGATCTCTTGGTTCAGTTATTTTTGCTGCAGAACTCACATCCTTTGCGCATGGATAGAAAATTTCTTCAGAACCTTCTGACAAGCCGTTCTCTTTCTTCCAAATAACTGAGGAAAAAGGCAGCTCCCAGTGCTCACAACATCCAGAGCCCCTGTTCAGTGGCAACACAAACACAGGAACTCTTGTCCAGAACACATCCTGGTTTGTCACAAACAACTTCCTGTAGAAAATAACGTCTGTTCTTTGGTTCGTTCCCTTGCAAGTGAAATACCCGCAGCAGGACAGATTGTCCTCTGAAATTCTCCCTGGTGGTTCTAAGATTTGGACGTTTTTGCTCACAGTTCTCATCCGTTGTGCCTCACTGACAAGCCTGCAGCTTGCTATTCAGAGAATATGACCTGCTACAGCTACTTTAGTCCTGTCTACTCAAGGATATTCTGGTTAACAGCAAAGCTACTGCATTCAATGAATCCTTATCCCTGAAAGCGTAAGTTTTTCATAGATGTTTCTTTAGGTCTTTAATTCCCTCCCTGGGACTACTAACCCTCTTATCCTAAATAAGGCACTGAACTTCAAACAGGAAGAGGGTTAACAGGTCATGTTAGAATTTGTATCCAGCTGAACTGTATCTTCTGCTGAAATACCTTTTTTCTTTTCCAACATGCAGGTTCTAGAAGAGTTGAAAATGTCATCCTACTTCAGAATCAAACAGTTCCCAGAAACAAACCCTGTATTTGCACAGTTCCAAAATGATACAGCACGAATTTGGAATAAGCTGTCCATTTCTCCATTTATAAAGGTGCATTTCTAATCTTAATTGTAGCTTACCAAATATGTAACAGAAATCCAAGTCCTGAGAATTACAATCCTCCTGGACCTATTATGGTATCACGAGAAGTCCAACAACTCCTAAAGCACTGCTTCACAGAGCTACTTAGCAACGCCCATTTGTTTAATGAAGAAGTGCAGAAATTTGTTTGAAGGGAGGCCCAGTATAATGCATCCCAAAATCTGGTTGGAAAGCAACAGTGCTCAAATAAAGTCCAAAACACAAACATCCAGATGGACAATTAAGAGTTCACTAACGGTCAACCTCTCTTTGAAGAATTCCTAGCTGAGAAGTATGGTGGCACATTCTCCTATGTATACCCACATATGTTTAGATATGCCTATTTCTTCATTTTTCATGGACGACTGCTTTCTGTTAGGATTCATGGAAAAGAGGGATAGAATAATTCATCAAAACCACTAACAGCTCTCTAAGTATCCACCTGATTGCTGTGAGTTGACTGCAGATTTTTTTTTCTAGGAATTTAGGAAATTCACTAAGTTAGTGAAAGATAACCCAAACTTCAAACTGTTTTCAAAAATAAACTGTATTTCTTTGGTTATGATTAAATATTACGCATTTCCAATTTTAAGGGCTGCACACCAGCTCCCTGCTTAACACAAAAATGGAACAGACACTTTCTTAAAAATGAAGTGGAAATGCTGCACTGAAAACAGGCTACTGATTTCATTAAGTTATTGTGAAAGATATCAGATGACAACTGTCAAAATCAGACAGCATGAAACATTCAGGAAATCCACAAATATGAATCTGAATACTGCATTAGAAAATATAACAAAGCACAATGAAAGCTTATCTGGGTCACTATTTCATTAAAGGAAGGGCGTTTGTGTTATTAATCTTGCTTTCCCTCTCTCATGAACGTCTGACATGGTTGTATCACAAAACTTCAAGCCAAACATACACTCAATACTTTCTTCTGCAATACTTACACCATAGAAGAATTCTGCATTTAGTGTTTTCACGTAACATTCACTGAGAGAGCAGGCACAACATGCATGTTGCTCTCCATGTCTCCAATACTAATCTGATTCAGACATTATTACAAAAAAAGCTAGCTCATGTTGCAAATCAAAGAGTGGCAACTAATCCTACTGCACTGCAAACTTCTGTCTTGTCAAAAAATTCTTTCTTGCTGTCAGCCAAAAACAGACGCATTTTAGAGATTACTGAAAAGCGAGAGTTCAGTTTCAACTAAATCTCTTTGTAAATGCATTCTCTGAATAGCTTCCCTCTGGACACACAAATAGGTAGTAGACACAAAAATGATCAAGCTTAGTAGCATTTAACATTTTACATTTTACCTTTCCAATCATTGTACTCAGGTCACCGTCGCTCAACAAAGGATTCTGGGTATCCCCAACTCGAGATGGGTCTTTTGTTGCTTTATCATTGCTGAAAGTTCTCCACTCCGACCCTACATCTATGACACGATCACCTGTGGTTACAGAAAACAATTGTTTGTATCAACATAATATTGTGAAAAGCTTCTGAAACATTGAGTTACACAGCTGAGCTCCCAGTTATAAAATGCAGGCTGTTACCAAGCGCAAACAGGATGTAGCTGCAGGTCACACCAAACACACCAAAATTTTTAGGTTTTTCAATTTTAAGTAGAAAGCAATAGCAGGAGCTGCAGAGAAGGTTGAAATAACTAGATAAATGAATCCAGAGAACAGTTGCAGCCATCCTTAAAGACTATCATAGGTTATTCAATACACAAAGAAGGAGCTCACAGCTGTCCATAAGCATTCCCAGTGACAGACAAATGAGTAAGTTATCTTACCTTTGACACTTGATAAAAGTACTCCTGAATTAGCTATCAAGCACAATCTCATCAAGCAGTAGCACATCGCTTTTCTGAATGAGCTCCAGACCCTTGGTACTCAAAAATGAATATGCCACCTTCTGAACCATCATAACAACCTTCTGCAGCTGTTTTCTTCCTTAAGGGATGCCTGACCCTTAATGAAAAGGACTTTCCTTGGGAGTCCTCTCAAATTCACCTAAATGTTTCCAGCAGCATCTATTCAGATTGAGAAATATCTCTATCCAGCATTAATACAGGCAAAAAGTCTGCACTAATCACAATATACAAATAACAATTAACAAAAAAGTTCTGTTTGTAGTGCAGTTCGTTCCACTCACAGGTCTGGTAAAACCAGCACCTCCAAGGCATTGACTCCAGAGCTGTACTACAGCACTACACAGAATTTTTAGGAACATGGGTAGAGAAAAGCATTAAGAAAAAAAGCATTACAGTTCTGTGCAGACTATCAGAAGTCAGTATAACTGTCACCTCTGCTTTGCTAAACCTGAGGGAAAATTCATTGTCTTCATCAACGTTTAAGTGTTGTGAATTCACAAAAATAAATGGCACTGACAGCAAGAAAAAATTTCTGGCATAGAAGTCCAAGTATGAAACAACAGAGGTTGCTTTAATCTAGTAAAAACGTAAGCAGACAGACAAAAGCACTCCCTACCAAACAATGATAACATACAATATGAAGCTGGAAATAAAAAAGTACAGGAGCAATGCACAGAGTGGAGGAACTTCCCTCTTAACACATGATGATGCAAGGAATGTGCCTGAAACTGAAAGGTGTAAATGAATCTAAGTCAGGCCAACTTGAAAGGAACAGATTTAAGACAGCAGTACTCTCACTAGTATTCATCCGACTTGCTCACGGCTATGCTCCACGTTTATCTCAAACTCTAAAGAAGGCTGAGGGAGTGGAGGTGGAAGTAACAGAAGTCAGAAGATTAAGAACACCACAAAGTAAGAGACAGCACAGATGCATTCTTCCTACTAGAGGCCAGTATCTTGCAAGCTTTCATTAGCAGACAGCATGCTCCTCTGGCTCTTGGACTCTTTGTAAATATTTGATTCAGTAATGCACCTTCTATGGTCTAGCAGTGACTTTAAGACAACCCCCCAATACTGTTTACAGCATCTAAAAAAAGCAAAATGTACTTAAAATTCTGGCATGGTATAAATAGAACACTGAGCACAGGGCAATGATGTAATATTTTTTTCCACAAGTAGAAATGACCTCAATGACTCACTCAAGGATCTGCCTCTTGTGAGTTATGAACCATTCCTGCTCTAACAAAAAAGTGTTGTATCACTGCCTGCTTTGGCAAACATACTACAAACAGAGAATTGAGACTACTATTTCAAAGTGAGAAAAGATTAAGTAGAACAAATCCCTGAATATAAAGCATTTGTGGAATTAAGATCCAGTGTGTAAATACCTTCATGTTGCCAAGAAATCTGCTATTGCAAGAAAACAGTTCTCCTGGATAATCTTTACTTACAAAGGTCCAAGAAATCACATTCCACCTTTCAAAAGCCTTGCATAGAAGCCTGACACAAGCTAGAAATAACAACAAAACTGGAACAAATAGGCCAAATGTTTCCACAGATGGAAAATATTCAACTGCAAGCAGCTAATTATCCTATCCCGCACACAAAAGAAAGTGTAGCACTAAGTATTCTCTTAACCTTTCAAAACAGAAAAATCACTTTAGAATTGTTGCCTTGGTATGTATGCAATAAAGCCCCACCTGTAAGCGACAGAAACAAAACCTTAAATCCCAAAGTCAGTTTTACAGAAAGCAGTGCGATATCGCAGCACTTGGAGATCAGCTTTGAACACTGGTTGCTAAGTTATCATTTCAAGCTCTGCACGGCATTTCCTGGCTCGTAGCCTACTGATGTGCTCTCCTAAATCACCTGGAAAATGCACCTGGGTGGCAAACAGTAGAGCAAGCAAAAGCTCCCAAAAAACACCATCTAAAATCCCCGCTTTCTCCCGTTGTTACTACATAGGTTTGTCAACTGTATCCAGCTGTGATAGGCTTGGGAGTGGTTGCACATCCACTACTTCCTTATGATGCCATCTTTTTGAACAGAAACAAACTTCACAAGACATGGACACATTAAACATATCTTTAATTAAAATCAAACGTGAGTTCATCCCTTTCTGCTCTGAAGTAGAAGCAAAACACGCTTCAAGGACCAAAACTACACAGACACCCATCTCCAGCATGAAGCATCTTCATGAACACAAAGGTTTTCTTCACTGCATTATTTAATTCAAAAACTCTTCTCCCAGTATATAACTAGTCTTTAAAACACAGTCTAACTGACACGAGAACTGCAGAGCAAATACAACAAACTTCAGCAACTCAGTTTACATACCATCTAAAAATGCACAACTGCTGTTATTCAGAACAGAAGACCTCGGACCAGTTACTTTTCTTCAGAACTAATAAATACAATGAGCAAGTGCTCCAGAAATGAAAGAACTCAGCATCAAAAATTAAAATGCAATTTTCAAAAGTTTTTAGTAATTACCTTAGAATGACTATAAAACACAAATATTGCATGTTTATTTCACCCCAAAAGTAGAAAGCAGTTTATCAAAGGCAACCACTCTTATTTGAGAAGTTCTGCATTAACAATTACATGTTTCCAGACAAATAATACCAGCTCCTTCAGCAGCACAATCCACTTGAAATACCCGTGATGCATGAGTCCTGTATTCTCTGTTTGCATTTTTATTACCTCTTATATTAAATACACACACACACACAAATAGCTGCAGACTGAGGAGGTTTAATCAAAACAGTAAGATTGGAACTGGAGCCTCAAATAATGTTATCTTCCGTATTCAGTCCCGAAACATTTTCAAGATGATATGGCTTAATTCATTGTAGAGGAGCTATAATGGTAGATGCACACTGAGTCAAGCTCTGCATATGAACAACTAATATTATAACCTCAAAATAAACAGTAAAATAATGCTTATTCACAATTTAAAATACCAAACAGCCAGTTTCTAACAATGTTTGGCTCATTCTGACCATTAGTTAAGGAATCTGCTGCCATCTAGTGAGCACATACATGGAAACACTTTTAAGAACAACATGCTTAAAAACATACATAGAATTCTAATTTCAGCCAACTCCTTATCATGGAGAGCACTGAGGTGCTGAGACAAATTACAGTGAAAAATCCAGGTAGAAGATTCAAGCCAAGGAAAATTATGAAGAATAACTGCACAGAACCAGGCTGAGTTGAGCCTTCCTTCTTCCTTCAAAACTGAACGGTCTTCATTCACTCATACTGAGAATACACCTGTCCGTACATCACTTTTGTCACTTTCTGCTGCACTTGCTCCAACAAGCCGGAACGTTTCTTGTACTGAGGAGCCTGTAGTTGGCCACGGTATTCCACACGTGTACACCCTGCCACATTCTGTTTATTTGCTTATTGTCAACAATTTGGGGGCCAACATGGCCCACTTCTATGAGCAACGGTGTGAAGGGGCTCACAGGCACGTGGCCTGGGGAAAGGGGAAGGGAAAGAGAGAAAAATGTAGAGAGGTGGGCCTAAAAACTAAACAGCAGCAATGAGCCAAGGGAGAAAACTGATTTAATAAGTACGATATTGGAATCAAGACAATACAATATAATACAACTGGAATTGAAGCTGATAAATAAAGTGAGAGTGTCCAAAAACCGAAGGCCTTACTCTAATGCTGAGGTGAGATGGCTGGGAGCACACACTGCAAAGACAAGAAGTAAAAGAAGGGGACAGTCTCGTGACTTGTGAGCAGTTTTATCTTTCCCTCTAAACTGAGAATGGAAACAGAACAGTGAAAGTCTTCTGGGAGATGTAGTTCTCTTCTGAGCACCAGGTACCTGGAAATATCAACAATCTGGCCTGGAGCATTAACTCTAACTGCCAGTGCACTACATGATGTTACGATGTGGAACACTGATAACAAAAATCATGAAACCATGACACTTACGTATTGCCAACACAGTTATACTCAACTTCATTTCAGTTTTCAGCAAGCAAAATTACTTTCCTTGAGCTCAGCCACACAACATTTTAATAAATCTAGTATATTCAAGTTAACAAAGAATAATTGTTGTGAATAAACAAAACCAAACCCTAACTTTACAGTCACGACTTCCTCTACATGGCCCCCACAGAAGCCTTGACTAGGCACACAATCCTTTGAATAGCTTCAGATATCAACACCGTATCATCAGCAACATTCCCCAAATATTCCATGATTCAGAATGTAGATAAACATAATATTTAGTCTAATGGAAGTATTCTTCATATTGGCTCTGAACCATCTTTGGTTCCCAGCCTAGAACCTACAAACTGTAAAACCTTCCACATCCTTCAGGAATATCATGCTAACAACAGTGACTGCAAAGCTTTGCCAAAACTGCCAGGGCTTCTGCTCCTCATGTCTTAGCGAAGACTAAATGATGACAGTCGTGTCATGGCTGCACGACTCACTACTCACACCACCACTCAGGCTAGTGGATGGACAACGTTTGCCACTGCTTATGAGATTTGGGGATCAGGCATCTTCAGCAATCCACATCCAAAAGACAAACACAGGCATTTGTGGAAACTTATGCTGTTTACAGCAGATACAGAACTGAAGTGGGTCAGACTTAAGACAGACACTATTTGAACTGCTGACTGAAAAAGACTTATGGATGACTCTTCTCATACAACAAATTGCCTATGTAAATTCAGCACCCACGAACACTCACACATTCAGCCACTCAAAGTTTCTGCAAGTATAAGCATATCTTGTAATCAGCTTTTCCATGGATGCAAAGAATTTTACATGCAAGCACAAACTTTTATCCAACGCTTTCTAGTACTCTGGGCACCAAGCATAAAAGCAGTAACTAGCTATAAGGTGCTAATATACATCCATATCTAAAGCTTTTTGTCCATTTAATTAAAATCTAAAATCTCCAACGAAAATCTTAAGTGTAGAATGTTAACAGTACTTAGAGAAAGAGATAATCATCAACATACATACAGATACAGAAAAATGGATACATTTTTCACCATTTGGAGGTTTAAAGATTTTACAACAGCCACAAAAGCCCTCTACTTGATCAGAAATACTTAAGTACCTTCTTCACTTCCAGGACACTACCAAAAAATAAGAGAAAAAAAAAAAAAATGAAATCATTGGTTTATTTCAGAAAAGCATCACGTATGTAGAGGTGCAATCAGTCTTGTCCCTGAATACAGACATTGTAATGGTCTGAGTAATGGAGTGACCAACAGATACAATTAGGAAATCCACTCCTAGTCATTTATTGTATCATAATGAAAACAATATATGCAGAAAAATTAAATCTTACCTATATCATATAGGCTGTACTTTAAGACTAGACATTTACATCTCAACCTTTTCAGAAACATTAGCCAACTAAATAACGCAACAGAACTTTGTAAAGCTCTGACCACAAACTATGGAATGTTTTCCCACAAACTCTGAACAGGTATACAGGAGATGGAACAAACATCTGCATATCGCTCATAACCTTATCCTAGTTTCCTGTTGTCTCAATCTTTTCCTGTTGCCTTTCTCTTCCTTTTCAGCTACATAACCTCTAAATGCAACGTCAGCCATAGTAGCAATAACACTGATTTCATTACACACCCATAGAAATGACAATTGTCAAACTTTGGAATCAGTGTATCAGCTACTTTAACCAATAACATACACAAGGAAAAAAAAAAAAAAAAAAAAAAAAAAAAAAGAAGAAAAATAAACTTTTCCTCAAAATATGTGATGTTCTAGTGCTCTGCCACAGCAAGCAGGAAAAATATCATGTGGAAATACATTAAGCTTTGTCAAAAACTCTTGTATCTCATTTCAGCCATCTAAAACAAAAACAGTAGCCAAGTCATGCCACTACAGACTTTGTAGCAGTGGAACACACCCATGCTCAGCATACACCATTCTGCCACTCCAGGACACAAGCAGTTCTGCAGACATCAGAACCACAGTATTTTTAAATGGAACTGTGACAGTAATTTGGCTACAGTCTTGCAGTTTCTTCCACTGTTCTAATGGGTCCCCTCTAGTAGTAAAAAACTCATCAAATTTCAACCCAACCCTAAACCCATGGTGAGTAACACTTGTAGGTACCAGCTACACCTGTGTAAACTTAGGGAAATCAGAATGCAAATCTGTGACTGACTTCACTGTGTAGAAAGAAGTGAAAGCACTACTCTGTTAATGGGAACATATCATGCAACTTGCAACAAATACATACAACTTTGACCATTCAGAAACAAAATGCTGTCTACCCATTATACATCCCTTTCTCCTCGCATCTCTAGAAGAAGAGACATAGAGAGTAGGATCTGATTTTCTCCTTCTCTCGATTTCCTAACAAAAGAAGGACTATTAAATATTCACACTGTTGTTTGGTCATGCACTCTTCAATTATTTATCTACTTGTTTTTCAAATTAGCTGTTGGATACTCAAGCTAATGAATGGAACATATGCAGGACAACTCAATTACTGAAGGGTGGCAGAACAAAATGAGAACAATCGGCACAACAGTAAATGTTAGAATATTTTAGTGATAAATCCATGCAACAACCTGCTTAAAAAAATACACCATGCTTAAAGAAAAAAAAAACATTTTGCCCCAGCAGTAATGTTGGCTCTAAGGAAGACTAAGTTCAATTTAAACACATTTTGAAAACGTAACTTGATGAAAATCTGCATTAATATTCTAAGAATTTTTTTCTCAACTTTTTTTTCCCCCCCATTTTAAATACTCTATTATAATTATCAATACAGTTTAGCCTCTGTAAGTTGCTGCCATGCATACAGTGGAGAAGAGATCAGCAAAAGTTCAGGAGAAAACTGGTATTAATTTTGTGTGGTATTAAAAGACTTAGGAGAAGTAATTAACAAAAGCAAGTATTGGCAAGAATACAGAGAATCATCCTTCAGGACAGAAAATAACCACCAACCAGTGGGAAACAAGAGTTGCTCTGGCTTTGTTTATAGGGCAGAATTTATTTTTTTTTTTATTTTACTAACTGAAATAAGAAAATAACAGTCATAGTTAAAGACAGAATACTGGACTAGGTGACATAATATTCTAATTCAATATAACAAAATATTTCAAGATTTCAATCTTCAAAACATGTTTGTTTGTTTTTTCCAACTTTCCACAAGAAGTTTCCAGAAGAAAGGCTATTAAAAATAGTGTTTAGCAAAGAGATTGTCTTGTAACAAAACATTTAGGTATCAAGACAAAAAACTAAAGGCTCAAATTACATTCCCATGTTGTGGAGAAAAAAAAGAAAAAAAAAAAAAAAGAAAAAAAAACCCATACAGATCTATATGCATAATGAAGGTTACATAGTAATTCACAGTGATATGAAATCCACTTACCTACTACTAGCCCACACTCTGAACAAATCATATCACCAGCTCTGTAATCCTCCACTAAAATGGAATCTGGATGGTTTGGGCATGTCACCCTCGGAAGAGCATCCAAACTACAAAGAAAGAAAAAAGAATTAAATTGTTATTATCCCAGTCAAGGAGGGTGCAGCCCAAAGCATGAGTTCACTGCTGAGAAGAATGATTTATGGTGATCTGAAGGACTTATTATTAACCTAAAACACCTGAATATCTTAAATTGCAACACTTTTGCAATTTATCTCATCACAGAAACATAGAAAGCTTCCAACGAGAGCATCCAAAACTTAAATGCAGCCAGGATTAAGCGTAGTCCACCTTGCAGTCTACCACTAACTGAAGTTCCTGAAGAACAGAGAGGTGATTACTTCATGCTAATGGGCATTTCCACTCATTCTTATCAAACCAATATAACTTATTAGGTCCTCAATTCAGGAAGCAGTGGGCACACATTTATTTGAGAACATATAATTCTGTCCTTTTTTTCAAGGGTTAGAAAAAAAATGCCATCCTTAAGTTAGGTTAAAAGTAGAGCATTAAATTAAGCAATTCATTAGTTGTGAGATTGTAATGGAGAAACTACCAGCTCATGAGAGGGATCGGGCAACAACTGCTTCTGAGGACCGGAAACCATCTCTTGTACACCATATATCTTCAGCAGCTACAAAAAGCTTCCAATAAAGCCTCATTGTTGTTTAACATGTGCACATATACAACAGCACCAAAGCACAGCAACAACCAATTGCTTCTAACCAAACATTGTAACAGTAAATACCTCATTCAAACTAACAGTGAATGTCCAGTAACCCCATTAAAACAACTTTGTTTCAAGGCTAGAGTTGTTTCCGCTTACTATTCAAAGTTTTATATTCAACAGAGCCATTTAATCGAGCTAAAAAAGCAGCGGGTATGGCAGCTGATCACAGTAAAATAAAACGCTGCAAGCACTTCTCAGGCTAAATGCGACGGCACCAAAAACACCTGCTAGTCCTTCAAACAGGAAGCGAGCCTTTATAGGAGTTGAATTCATCCGAGTTTCCTCCTTTCTCACCAGCCTGTCACTGCAGCTTAATCTATACAGCCCCAGCTCAATCTTCATGTTTTGGATACACCTGATGCGTCAAAGGAAAATAAACGTAACATTCTAAACCGATGGCTGTTCAGAAGAACCTCTACGATTCAGAACGCAGATTACGTTTCACCGGCAGCGTTAACCTCCACAACCCCCGTGTAGAACACGCTCACGCACGACCTTCGGATGCAAACCACCTTGGATATCAGACACACGCGCTCCCTCCCGGCCCTTCCTCCCTCGCCCAGCGGCTTCACGTGGCAGACACAAGTGTTGACAAAGCAAGCAGGGCGCCCAGCTGACATTCGGCGTTACGCAAAACGCCAGCGACATGCGGAGCGAAAGGAGGGAGGAAAAAAAATAAAAATCAAACGAGAAGCTCCAAAGAAAACACTCGTAGCGCGTTGCTGCAGACCTTTCTTTCACAAATGACCACACGACAACCATTTTTTCTACCCAGGATTTAATTAAGCGATGCAGACAGACGCCCGGCCCCGCTCGAGGAGCGGCACCGAGCTCGGGGCTCCAACCCACAGCAGCCAGCCGCCGCGGCCCACACGGAGAAGCCCGGGAGGCCCCTGCCGCGGGACGGCTTACGGTCCCGAGAAGCCGGGGAGGAACGGCGAGCCGAGGCAGGGGGCGGCGCCGAGCCGGGGCCGGGTAGGAGCGGCGATGGCCGCCGGTTCCTCCCCGGGCGACAGCGGAGGCCGACGCGGCCATTTTCTCTGCTGGGCCGCGGACGGGGAGAGATGGCGGAAGCCGCGCCGCCCGCTCCTGGGGGTGAACTCCTCCGCGCGAGCCCCCGCGGAGCGCCGGGCCTCCCTTACCGGCTGGTGGACGCCATCTCACTCCTTCCGGCGGCGGCGGCTGCGCGCAGTCAGGAAGCAGCTCGGCGCACCTCCTTATGTAGCGGCAGCGAGGGGCGGAGCCGCCGGCAGCTCGCGACGGGTCGCGCGAAGGGACAGGCGGCTCCGCGAGCGCGCGCCCCGGGCGCGGGCCGGGGACGGAGGCGACGCCGGGCGCCTCGAGCTGCGCGCGCCCAGAACGTGGCTGTTGGGAACCGACGCCACGAGCAGCTGCGTGAGGTGACAGAGCTCGCGCTGGCAGCCGCTCGGCGTGGGGCCGCCTGCAGGCAGAGATCGATGCCGCGAAAGGGAAGGAAGGACCTTTTTCCGTCTGCGATGACGTTTACTCAATAAGACCAAAGGATGAAAAAACAACACCTGCTTTTCAAGGGGAATAAAGCTTGTTGTATTATGCTTCCCTATGACCTCTGAGATGTGAAGTAGCACTGCCTGCAACAGCTGCGCCACATCAGCACTCAGCCCCAGGGGGTTTGCAGGGTGCGCGGCTTCCACGGAAAGATCTCCCGCCGCCAGTCAGTGCCATCGGCAGGTCTCCCCCCCTCTCTGCTCACTAAAGGTTCCATTTACACTACACCGAGACAATCGTTTACAGAACTGTTGCCAAAAAAAAAAAAAATACAGTGGACCGTGCTTTGTTTTTGTTCCCTGTCTGCAGCCATATTTCAAGTGCTTTCCCCCCAAGCAAAAGCGTTTGATGTGGTAGACGAGAATAGCGCTACCAGCAGTCTTTACAACAGATCTTTCAAATAGCTTATGGAAAATCCACCTTGCTGCCCCCAGCTGCACCTATTCTTTCCCATCACTGTAGTTACAACAATAATCCTAACTTTAAAATGTTACTTCACTGGGCACTCTGGAGTTTCTTAAAATCTAATCCAAAGTTATTTCATGCTGCCTACCATCAGCGATAAAAGTCAAAACGCTGCAGTTCTCACATTAACATTCCAACAATCATTCAGTGGGATTTCAACTGCCTTTGTAAACACAACAAACAGTACATTAATGACAGTAAGTCATCAGATCTTACTTGCTTGTCTAAAGATCCTTTGCAATTGTTTATTTAGCCAATGTTCATTTTGTTAAAATATCAGATGTCAGTCAAATGCCTCATAGGAGCAAATGGAGGCAACGATCAACAGCCAGAGCAGCTGAATCATGCTTGGTATATCAATTCATTTCTGCAATGCATCTTACATGTCCAGACCTTTAACGACACAAAAAAAAGATTAGCAGATTACATCAAGTGCTTTGGAAGCAATGAGGCTTTTGTTCACAAGGCAATATAAACACAGTAAAGGGAGGCAAGTAGCATCCTAACACCTTTCCGCATTTGAGAGGATGCACAGCCTCATTACATGCATGTTCTCGTGCTACCAGCAAGCTATCTCAGGGAAATCTTAGACTGTAAGAATAGTTGTAGAAGTACTCGGAGAACTGTGCTTTTTTGCAGTTGTATTTCAGACTAGTATGATGCAATGATCTTTATTTAGAAGTCTCTTTTGATATTATTTTATGATCACTGTATACATATTACTTGTAATGACTTCTTGAAAACAGCAACTAACCATTTTTGTGGGGAGATCTGGAGAACAACAGTGCAAGGCAGCTGAAAAGACCCAGCTACTAGGCTACTGATAAAGCAGCCTAGCAGATCAGTCTGATTTCCATACGATTCTTCTTGTCCAGTCACAAACTGCTGGGATTCAGCTGGATTCCAGCTCTGTAACCACAGAATAAGTAAAATAGTTGCAAATCTAGCAACAGAATTTCTTTGAGCTTTCCAGCATAAGGTCTGTGGGTTGAATACCAAACGAATACGAAGAATACAACACATTTAAAAGGTTACATACTTGGATTGCTTTCACTAGTGGAAATCCTACCCAGAGATTAAAAGATTGCACAGAGAGGAGACAACAGTGAAAGAACTCTCCACATTTACCTCATCTGAACCTGTCCTTTAGCCACTGAGCTAGGAATAGTCAAAGTTGAGCTCCATAGTATCACAGAACTACAGCACAATATCAGGCCCATCTTCATGTTCCCACTTGATCTTAAGAGTTTAAAGTAGGATTGTTGTGAAGTTACCAGTGGCTTTTGTGGACATGAAAAGAGCAAAAAAGAGATCATAGGATTAATTCACCTGATGGAGATGCCTCTATAGCAAGTCCTTTTATTTTGCTTTGCAGATTCATTTATGGAGTAAACAAGAGTCTAGAAATAAAAGAAATCCTATTCTAAATGCCACTTGCATAATTTTATTGAGGACTGAATACCCTCAGAATAGCACAAGACTACTGTGGGAAAACCAAATACCGGTTATTCCTTTAGATCTTGCCTGTATAAACACATAATTGATTTAACTCAATCATTTTAGTTAAACTGATGCAATCTATGCATGGACAGAGTAGACAGGTACATAGAAAGGCACTGTGGTTATCTTCTCTGAGACATATAGTAATTTTCCACCACCTCATACCAAAAAACTTAAAATACCTACAACAATTTTTTATTTTGCAGTTCTAGAACTCTTCACATTTCAGTAAGACAAAGACATGTGAAAATAACTTGAGTTGCATTACAAATATCAGTAAATCATTGTTTTAACTCCTCAGCAGGTGGCAGTACAACGTTATTTACAATATCATTAATTCTGTACTGTATTAAGTAATTTGTTCTTCAGTCTGCAACAAAAGCCCTGATGTAAGATAATTATACCAGACAGAAGAGTTAATTAAGAGAAAAAAATAAAAAAAAAAAAAAAAAAAAATAATCAAGCTTTCTGCTTCTTCCAGTTCTTCAGGATCACTTCAGCTGCATCCAGAGTGCTGTCTTTCTGCAAAACAAGGAGTATCACTATTACTGCACGTACGGATTCTTGAAAACAGTACCAGTCATATTTATATGATCCCAAATCAATATTTGGCAGTGTCACTTGCAACCTCTTAATATCCCAGTTGATCACATTGTCATTAAAAGTTATAGCTACAAATCTACACTGCACAAAAAAGTTCTGATTCCTTGCAAAGATTTATTAGATATGTTTGTTCCAAAAATAACATTTTTTCTCAATATTAGTATTATCAAATTTCATTAAACTGGGTAGTCCTTATGTAAATATTCAGCATTTACACAGTGACGCATTTGGCTGCTCTATACTGGACACTTGTTAGCATAGTTTCCTAATCTTTATGTGTATAGGTGGGTTTTTTAAAACTTCATGCAACCAAGCTATGCTGTCTACTTAAACATAAACCCTCTGAATGCGAGTAACCCACTGATTAGTTGCATGACTTGGCTACAACACAATGAATCATACAGGTAGTGTTTAACTCGTCGTGATTAGTGCTTTTCATCCTTGGCAAGCCATATTAACTATCAGCAAGTTTCATTCTGATTGTTACTGGCTCTGTTTGTATCACTGTCTTTATACCTCATCCTAAGAGCTGTGATAACATAAGCAGAAATTCCCATTCATTACTGGACCAAGCAAAGGTACAGATTCTTATACTAAAACAGAGTTGTCACATTTCATTATGTTGACACTGTGACAGAACAATACGAGAGACATCTTACAGCACTCAGATTACCAAAGATTATGTATGTATGTATGTGTCTCCACAGCATTTCTTTTCAAGCACAGATTCAACAACTGGGTGAAACACTGGGAAGAACATGTGAAAAATCAGGTGCTCACAAAATCACAGATTCATGATTTCTCTTTTCTTAAAAAAAAAAAAAACACAAAAAAAAAAAAAAACACACACAAAAAGATGAGATTCCTTCCCATGTCTTTGTTTCTTTTATAGTTTACAGCTTTGTTTTCTTTCATAGTTTGCAGCTTGTGTAAAACCCTTGGTAATTTCAGGTAAGCTAAACTTCAAGCAGACTTATGATTTTTGTTGCTGGAAACTGAACAGACATGCAGTACTTCATGCATATCATTTTAGTATATCATTTTCCTATATGTGGGAATTATTCCTTATTCTGGTTATAGAATCCACTGTAAGTGATTGCATATCCACCTCATACATTTTCAGTGTCATCACTGGTCAATAATGCTTTTACAAATCAACAAAATATCTATTTAAAAAAAAAAGACCTAACCACCCAGTTGGTAGCTATGTCATCCATATTTCTGGTTTCAAATCCCTTGGCAAAAAAAGACTGTTGAAGCTACTTCATGCTGAATTATACACCAAACTGATTTTCTGTTTCTAAAATCATCCAACTCAGACTGTGGGAAAAAATGTAGCAGTTGTCTATTGCAATTTTTGATGCTGCATTGATTTTTGAGTTTTGAGTCTTCATGGGACACAAATTTACCTTAATGAAGCAAAAACGTATATATTTTTCAAATTGCCTCTTTGTCTCAGGCCCACAGAATGCTGAAAGCGGAATTGCTGAGAGTTTCTGAAGAATTAAACAAAAATATTATTATACATATATATTAAAAACAGATTTAAGCATGATTTTCTAAAATCTTCCAACATTCAAGGAAAATACAAGGCTGAATTTTGTTCTGAGTAACTAGGCTTAAATAATTTCACATTACTTTTCTTAGACAAAATATTTCAAAGGGTTTTTTTGTTTGTTTGTTTGTTTTTTTACAACTAGCATTTAAGCAGAAAAACAATTGCTGGAACTTAGCACAAACGTATAAAATACATTACCAGTACGCTTAGCAATATTTAAGCCACATCATTTCCAAAAGATAGCATGAATACCAAACAATATTTGAGTAAGCATGGTTGCACTGCTTTGGATTTCAGTAGAAAAGCATTTCTAAAACTAGAATATAACCAGGACACCTTACCTTAGATGATATCATCCATCGGACAAATTTATAATCATAAGGTTGATTCTCATCTACATCAGAGAGATCCACATCTAAGGAAAAGAAACTGTATGATTTTCCAGGCTCCAGTGGGAAGGCATCATGAACAGCATTACACTAACACTTCAGAATAAAGATGTATGCTTTTATCAAAGAAATGTAATTCAGATTATACTGGAACAGCTAACAAGAGATTACGCCAAATGCTTGGCTCTCAAATCATTTCATAGTCATAGACTGTTAAGAAACAGACTTTTTTATCCACAACCTTTGCCCCTCCTAAAACTTCGCCAAAGCTTTGCAAAACAAGGACAGTTGTTACAACTGCAAACAAACAGTTTTCCTCAAGCTCATAAAATCCACCTAAAGGCTAAAGTCAGATGGAAAATTTAATTACCAATTAGAATTTCTGACAATGTTATGCGAACAAAAAATGAGAAGATATATATATAATATATATAATATTATTATTATATAACATTATATTACAAATATATATATTTTAAGCTTACTTAATGTAGAAACATCAACAATCATAAAGTATCCTCCTTCTGGAATGACAGGTGTCAGCCCAACTTCTTGAAGTAGCTGAGCCATCCGATCACGCTTGCTTTCCAGCTCTCGAGGCAGAGAGTAAAAATAGCAGTCTGGGTCATCCATGCGTTTATAGTCTACCCAAAGTGCTTGTGCCAAAGCCTCCTGGAAATGACAGTGTTCAAAATACTCATGGACACTCACATGCTTCCTAATGAAATTCTGTAGTAGGATCTGGCTCTTATTAAGCAAATCAAGAAATACAAATTTCACAAACTGCATCCAGTAGTGCAATTTGCTTGTTAACTTGTAGCAAAACCCAAAGCACCAATTGCTCACTAGGCATTCATCACATACAAAAGCTCTGAAGCGTTTACAAAATGAACTGAAGCTGAGTTTAGTGAAATATAATCATAAAAATACTAAGAAGTAAACTGTAAGGTAAAGATAACTGTCAGTAAAACAAGACCCTACTGCATCAACTTTTACTTACATTTGGCAGGAAACCCCACAGATTGCTATGAGTGGTGCTTTCTGCAATAAGCAGCAGTTTGTGTGTCAAAGAAGAAAGAATCCGCAAGACTTCCTTGGTTTTGTTTTAGGTTGTTTTTTATGTTTGTTTTTTAAATGTCTGCTCAGCTGATGAAGATTATCATCTTTTTCTAGCAACCTAGCACACTTATTTTGACAATCAAAAATTAGTTGTTGTGATTATTGTTTTATCATGGTGAGGTCTACAAGTTTGCTATGCCAGAAAATAACTTCTTTGGCTCCATCTGTACGTACCTGTAATGGAGTTGGGCAAGTATATAGTGTATTTTGATGAACCACTTGCAAATGCTTAATCAGATTCTGAGGGCCAATAGACCAACCAAGCTACGGGAAGAAAAACATGCATATATTACACTTACAGCAACACCATTACTTCAGATTAACAAAGAATTGAAGTTAGAAAATGTCTCAAGTTTTTCCATTAACAATTAGTAGTTTGTCCTGGTAAAGAACTCAGAATAGAGTTTGTTTATAACAACTTTCCTCTATAATACATTTTTAAAAAGTCTAGGTATGAGACAAGAATAACAGCTTCACTTAACACGTCTCAAAGAATATCAAGCAAACTTTTAATTCTCCATATAACGAGTTAGAAGATAAACAGATCCTTTATTAGGAATGAGATTGCCAATTGTTCTAAGTTCATCTCATAGGCACCCATGTCAAGGGTGGTTCGAGCATAAAACAAGAGGTCATTACTGGATCAAATCCACTCTCAGCCAGACAGAAGTCAATTGTCATGGTTCAGTCTGACCACGGGCGATAAAGAAGAAAGCATTTAGCTGCCAAAAGGTTATATATTTTATTTTCCAGTATGTATGTTGAAGTTGGGCAAAATATTATTATCATTTAATATTTTAATAGCATTGAAAGAGAAACTATTCCAAAAGGTATTATATAAATTTGAAAACAACATCACCATCACAATACTGGATAGCATCTGAGTCTTCTCCAAGAGTTTTGAACAAATCATACTGTGTTTATTTATATATTTTTTCCTCATAAGAACTCACTACTCAACAGACAAGAACAAAACAAAAGAGTTCAAGTAGTTGTTCCAGCTGAATGGTATCTTCACTTTTTAGAGACACACAGATTTGCCAGAAACTTTCAAACACAGGTAACAAAAATGCATCCTGTTATTTACTTAACTAAACCCTTACGCTGATTTTCCTTACCTTCCAACCAGTTACACTGTATGTTTTCCCAGCGCTTCCTATAGTTATTGTTCTTTCCCACATACCTGGCAACGTAGCTGCATACAAAATAAAATTAATTGGGTATAAGTGCATTCACATATTCCATGTAGTTTGCTCCTCACTAAGAACTACAATGTGCTGATGTTTAATTGTAGTGAGAATATTTGAAAACTATAGCAACCGTAACAAGTGAGAAAGAATATATGGACCAAAGATCTTGGCAGAAAAATAAGATTTGGATAAAAGACAGAAAATGAGGAGAGAGATAGTTGGTGAAAATGATGTTAGTTTTCCCCAGGTGCAGAATTATTCATTAAAAAAAAAAAAAATCTAAGAGGCTACTTATTTACCTCATATGGTATTATTTCTGATGCCTAGTAAGGGCACTATACACAACATTAAACCAAGCACTCCCAGCCATTTTAACAGAATTGTCCAGAAAACAGTTCAGTATCATTCAGTATCTCTTACCAGAAAAATGAAAATAATTTGTAAGGTTCTGGTTTAGAAGTCAGAAACCCAGTAGAGAGTAAATAAATTACATTTTATTGTACAATTTGAACAGCCCTGAGATTGAAACGCAGTAAGAACTAGGTAAGGTGTCTGCAAGTAGTAAGGGATACAAGGAAGCTTATCTCCATCTTTGTATTTGTATCTTGTAGGAGACCAAAATCTTTCCCTCCTTTTCAAAGTTGATGACAGAACGAAGATCTCTTCTGTCAGCTTGCAATTTGCTACCAATGAATTTGTCAGTTGTTAAATTCCCTCTCTAGAGGGAATCAACAAACAGATTTTCCAAACAAACACTGACTTTCATAAGAAAGGTTTTGCCACCGTTACATTAATTAGGCACGGTAAAGGTCATTGCAACTCTTCAAAAATATGCATTGTATTCTTCTGAGCACACTTGCCAAGAAAAGAAACCAAACTAGCAGGAAAGAGACTCGGATTCTTATTAGCTTACCCTTATTCACTCAACTGCTCTGTGACCTTGAAAACATAAAGGCAGTTTGAACAGATGCATCTTGTAGCTAGCTAGGTCAAGAGTACACACTACTTCCTAAAGACAACTGAACTTGCTCTCTGCAAAAATAATTGAATTTCAAAGCAAATGCCCTTTAGCAAGAGATTGTTTTGCCACATAGTCTTAGGAATTCAACCTTGGAGACAGAATGCAACAGCATTTTCAAACAACAGCAGCAGCAAAAGAGCACAGGCGAAGAATCAGCTCCGTTGCTTTTTTACAAGCAGGTTTTAAATAAGCAAATTCTTCCGTGCTTCCATGCCAGATGGAAGCATCATTACATGACACCTTAAGGGACTTGAACTACAATTTACTATCAAAGTGCAAGCTAACACATATAAGTCTGTTACCTGGGCTGGCACTCAGCTTGCTGAGATGTCTGTTCTCAATGCTCAGTTACAATATGCTACCTCTAAATCCTAATCATTACTTAAAGAAGGTTCACTGTTTTCACAAAGTCGGATAATGATGAGAAACATGATGAAGTGCACCACACTGCAGAAAACAGCCTTAGTGACAGCACAGAGACTGTACTAATTTTATGATCTGTGTTGAGCAACTCTTGTTAAATTATATTAAGGCACCACTGCCAGACACTGTAAATTGATGCAATATCTATTTTGTATCTCTAGAAAGGAAGCGTCAGTGCACAGATGGAGTGTGGAAAGTTTAATATGAAAACACAGGAGCTATCAAATAGAGAAAGAGCACATGCCATTTTTTCTTACATTTTCTTTTTGTAGATTTAAAGAAGTCTAAGAAACTGAAGTTAAAATGAACAGATCTTGCTTCTTTTACTGAAGTAATGTTATTTCTCACGGTTTTATGGAAGTTTTATGATCATCTTAGCAATAAAGTTAAAGATGATGTCATGGGATTGATCATAGAGTACATGCTGAAATGAATGAAGCTGAGTAACCTTTCAGGCTTTACCTTTTCTCATAATCGCAAGAGATTTCTATTTTGCGCGCTGAACTACAGAAAGTCTTCTGTTCGGTTGTAAACGTTTTGGTTTGAAGCATTAAAATGACAAGGCTGATACTAATAAACAATAAAGTTACTGTGCTTTAAGAACTCAGCACCTGTCCACTAAGACAAAGCATGACTGACAACATGAGTGTTCAAACCTGTTGCTATGGCAAAGGAAAAAAAATGGAATACCTTACACCACCCACAGTGACTCTGGTTCTGAAGATGGCTATTTGCATGAACCACCTGCCAGATCTATTAAGAAAGCTATAAACTAAACTCATTTTACTTTGTAATCGGAACAGGATAAAGCACCAGTTACTGTGGTAACTTGGTACAATGCACTGACGCAAATTACAATCACATGAACCCAAAACATTCCATTTTCTCAGCATCTGAAGGTCTTCTAGAAGGTATCAGACAAGCGAAGAATCTGGAAGGTATCACCACAACAGCCACGAGGTTAGGCCACTTTCAAAACAGACTCATAGCCTATGCATGGCCAATGCAATTAACATACTAAGCTGTACGATCAGTAGCTGTGTAGCTGAGCTAATAAGCATTCCAAGGTCATTTAGGTATAACTTCCTTTTCATTTTTTATAGGAATCAATTTCTACCGTGATGCTTCCACTAGAGCCCTCATTAATGGAGTTTCCCCTATTGCTACTCTTGATATTTTGAGATAGTAAAAGCTTAAAGTTTGAACTTCTTCCAGCAAACATTATTTTAAGTTTGCAGTATCATTCCACAGCTGCTTCTAATAGATAAGTACCTATTTTTGTGTGTTTATTTCCCTTGTACACCAGCCATTCATACACCTCGTCACTGATGCACAGAGTATCATGTTTAATACAGAGATCAGCTATCATCTGGAGTTCTTCTCTGGTAAATACCTGGGATGCAAGAAAGTAAAGGCAATGCATTAGTCACAGTATTTAAGGCATGCTCTGAAATTACAGTAGTGTTAAAGCAGGACTCTTACCTTGCCTATAGGGTTGTGTGGGGTATTCAGAATAATGGCTTTTGTTTTCGAATTAAATTTACTTGCAAGTTCAGCTGGATCTAAGACCCAATCAGCACTGGATGCAGAGTTTCCACCATTTTTCTTGGAAAAACAAATAAAAACAAAAAATGCATTACTGGAATGCAACTTGCTACTGCCTAAACAGAGGTGCCCAAGTTACCATCCTCAGACACTTTACTAACTACACATGACAACTTATCCAACCTGTTCTGCTTCCCTGGGAGGAGGTGCTCCCAAACAGGCAGGAAGCTAAGATCAAGACAAATTACTGTGACAATGGCAGTCTTGTCCTGCTTGACGCCTGTCTCACAGCTTCCCCAAGAACCAGTTTCCAGGATCTGGTTACTCACACATGTAGTGTGTAATGCAGGAAGTGCAATCATATGACAGTAGAGTTTATGGCCTTCCCATACACTAGAACAAGTTATGTGTGTGCTTGGCTGGAAATCACCCCTAGACTAGGATTTTAGCTCCTTCCCTCCTTATCTATGAGAAAACAGCCAAAGAGTTAAAAATATCTACCACTGAGGCTCTGGACTTACATCCTCAGTGTACATGAAGATGACAGAAGTTTGGGTCAGTTTCTGCTAATATCAAAGAACATGGCCATACTAATTTTCTGATACATGCCTAGAAGGAAAGAAAAGCAGTCACTCAGCCCTCTCAGCAAGATCAACATCTTGCATCCTTAAAAATCCATGCAACCTGCCAACACAATGCCAGAAGTACCAATATGCAACTTAACTATATGATAATTACTCCTTTTTTACCAATAAATACGTCAGCTACCTCATAATCATTTCTTATTAAATAAGTGGATTTTAGAAAATAAATTCTACTCCATCACTACATGAGCCACCAAGAGGATCAGAAACCAAATATTCTGAAATGCAACAGGTACAGAATTTGCACCGGCATGACCATCCTTCCCCCATTTCTACTGAAAACATTTTCTGATCCCATCCAAACAAAGGAATGTTGATCAGCTTTCAGACTGCACAAATTAAAGTAAATGAGAAAATGAGAAACACTGTCCTACCTTTTCCAGCACCAATAAAATATTTTATTTGCTTTGGATTATCATTATCTCAGTCTTGCACTATAACAATCAATTTCATTTTTGTACAATTGAATATTTTGAAACACTGCACAGAAAAGCATCTCCTATAAGGTTTTCATCAAATTGTATTAGGTATAGAAGTTTCATATAATAAACAATTTTTAAAAAGCTACTCACATATCTCAGTGGAATAAAAACAGGCTTTGCACCCGCCATCTTTACCATTGGTTCATAACAGTCATAAAATGGTTCTATTATTATTACCTGAAATTACAATAGCAATATCAGAAACAGAAAATCTTCAGTGCATAATGCCATCATATTTCCAGATTTGCTTTAGTAATCTAACTGGATAATGTTTCTGGCACTCCATCCTGATTTTAAATAAATAAATAAATAAATAAATAAAAATCACAATGTTCTTCCTTTCCCAGAAGGCCAACAGCATCCTGGGCTGAATCAAAAGAAAGATGGCCAGCAGGGCAAGGAAGGTGATTGTCCCTCTCTACTCTGCCCTCTATGGGCCCCATATGGAGTACTGTGTCCACATCTGGGGCCTTCAGCTCAGGAAAGATGTGGAGCTTTCAGAACAGGTCCAAAGGAGGGCCACGAAGATGATCGGAAGACTGGAGAACTCTGGGAAGACCTGATCGGGCCTTCCAATACTTAAAGGTAGCTTGTAAGCAGAAGGAAAATCAACTTTTTACATGGGTAAATAGTGATAGGACACAAGGGAATGGTTTTAAACTAAAAGAGGGGAGATTTAGATTAGATGTCAGAGGGAAAATTTTCACTGAGAGAGTGGTGCGATGCTGGAACAAGCTGCCCAGAAAAGCTGCATGTCCCATCCTTCCAGGTGTTCAAGGTCAGGTTGAATGGGCCCTGGGCAGCCTGATCTAGTGCCTGATTTAGTGGCTGGTAATCCAGCCTGTACAGGGGGGTTGGAACTAGATGATCTTTTAGGTCTCAAAAAATAAGAGCAAAAAAAGCTCATAATATAATAATGCCCTTAGACTAAGCATAATAAGCACTACTCATAACACACATTGGCTGTTATTCTGTAGTTACAATGTTACAAACACTAACATATAACACCTGGAATGTTTGGGGCCTTGTGGCACAGATGTAAATGTGCACGACAAAGATGGGAGATAACCACAGCAAATTTTTGAACAGCACAGCTGCCCTAATTAATGACATTCCAGGTGGAAGCAAGTATGCACTCGCCATGTCAGATGGAACATATTCTTTTCAAAGACATGGATTCTACCTCCAACACAGAATTTCCAAGCATCAAGGAAATCCCAAAGAATGGCCTAAAGTCTTTAAATTCCAACAGGAAAAAATTTAAATTGGAAAAAAGGACAAATTCAAGGAAAATTGCTGGGCAGAGGCTTGGAAATATGAAAAGAAAAAACAAAACAAACAAAAAAAACTGCAACCACCAACCCAAAGAAAAGTTAGAGCAGAGAACTAAGAGAACTTTTAAAAGGACAGAAATGAATACCAAAGCAACAACAAAAAAAGAAATAAAAGATAGAAAAGTGAACACATTATTTAAGTGAAAACAACAGAATGCTGAAAGCAAAATGTGCAACACAACAAAAGAAGCTTTTGCTCACTGCAGACCCAAAGAAACATTCTCCCAAAATGACATTTAGTATCATTACCAAAAAGACTGAGATGAGTAGTGATGAAGCACTTTCCTGCTTTTGTTGCCATAACTCAATGGTTCAAAATAGAACTTGACATACAGTAGCTTTTCACAGGCAGTACTTTGCATTATGCTTTGTTTTCTGTTGCAGATAGCAACCCAGACATTTTCTTAAATAAACATACAATATCATGTCATCTAACAATAACAGTAAAGAAACCACTACAGGTATTGCCAAGCATGAAAGAAAAGGGTCTGTAAGCCGGTGAACTGACAGGGAGGACATCCAAAGGATGCTTCTAGAGCTGCAAGTCAAATATGCAGAGGTCTGAATTACTTCCTGTAACTTAACAAATTACTAGAAATCAAAAAGAAGCCCAAACATTAATAAGTGGACAAACAAACAGCTACAAAAAAAAAAAAAAAAAACAGTGAAATTCTCTTTTCAGTGCACATAAGTGAATGTCTCAAATAAAAACTTACTTCATCTCCTTCTTCAATTAAAGCCTGTATTGTACTAAAGAGAGATCCATAACCTCCTACTGTCACCAGGATATCTGTGAGAGGGTCAATCTTTCTTCCACAAACTCTCTCATATACTTTAGACAAGACTTTCACCAACGATGGATGCCCCTGTTCAAAACAAAGAAATGCATCTGAAAGAGTTTACACATTGTCAGGAGCACTCCAGTGTTTTGGGGCTTTTTATTTGAGGGGGAGGTAAGGGGGGTTGTTGCCCTTCCTCCCACAGATCAAAGTAACATGTTTTGAAACAAAAATGTGAGATGGACCCTCAGTGTTAATATGTTTTAACAGGCAGCATAGCTTAAAGCATTTGTACATTGGGTAAGCAAAGCTATTTTATTTGAATTTACTAGGAAATTCTTTTTGCATAGCTAATACTTTTGAATTTCTATCTTACCATCATATCTCAGGATAACTTTAGGTAGCCTGTAGGAGAGCTAGGACAAGAGACAGGAGGAGAGAAGGGAATAAACTGATACCAGTTAATCTTCCTTACTTCCTTACTTATCTGCTTCTTACCCACTCATATCTCCATCTGAAGCGCCTTTCATTTTCATTAACTTTCAACTAAAAATGTTTTGGTGCAAGGAAGATCTTTTTATCTTGGTTATATACTGCTGGTAAACAGCTCCTGTGATCAGAATGATAAGTCATATATTGCAAACCTCAGACCACCTTTTGCCAGTTGACACAGGTTCGTGTACTCTTCCCAAAATGTGCAATGAAAAAGAAAACAAACATAAAACGAAGACCATCTATGATACAGGAATAAAAAGGCACAACTCTGTTTACTCAGGAAGACTAGAGGTTTCCTGCCATGAAAAACCTTTTTTTCCTTCCTTTTTGGATACTTGATGAAAAGAGTGAAAACAGTTCTGGGAGAATATTCTCCTACATAACAAATAGCCTCCTCTAAATATTGAACACCGTAGCTCTGCACATAAGGCATAAAATTATGAACCTCTCTGTAAACAAAAACATTGCAATAATTTAAGACTTGTAAGTCATTTTTGATTAAAATTACAGCCACTTCTTCCCATGAGTGTGTCAGCTACAAAGCAATGCTGCACCACCCAAGTTACTCCACAACCAACTCACGACCAAAGTGCTACAATACAAGTTACACACTGCATAGTGACCATCCTCCAGAGGGGAAACTTCCTCTTTCTAACACTTCCTAATCTCCACTCAGATCTGCTGATATCATGGGTGAATCTTTTCTTGAGGCACTGTCTCAACTGATAGTGTACTTTCTTCACTTACCGATAGTGACCTTTCTCACGCTAGTATTATCCTACCCAATTCATGTCCACGCTGACCAAATAAAAGGAAAACATGTAATTTACAATCTTTTAATCTGTAAATTGGTTTATATTGTCTTTAGAGGTCCATGCAATCTCATACACACGCTACCATTTTGCTCTTGAGCAAGTATTCTGCCTTAAGGAAGACTGCACAGTCTGTTGTTTGGTAACAGATAAAACTTAATTTGAGACAGAAAAGCATGAACTACCAGTAAAACCAACTTAAAGCAAAGTCAATTTTTTTTTTTTTTCTGTGGCAAGTTCTCCACTGATCTCAACTCCTCAAGTTCCACAGTACTTACAAAGCCTCGTGTGTACTGGTTCAGTCTGTCAACTGCTGCTGCTTTTGCCAGCTCTTCTTTAACATAGCTGGGAGGGCATATATCAGGGAGGCCTTGACCAAGATTAACAATTGAAGGATCTGCTGCCACCTTTGTAAATTCAACCCTAACAGAAAAAAAAAAAAATACACCTTCAGTTTAACATATCAGATAGAATTATCTTTTCCTTTAAGAAAATTAGAAGACAAAAGTATTTTGCTTTGCCAAATTCACAGTACTGGAAACAGTTTTTAGTAAAGTGCGTTCATGCTGAGAAATAGAGTCTGGGATAATGTTAAGTAACCACAGGAGTCAGAGAACCCAAAAAACAGTTAATTTATTCCCCACAGAATAACTGTTTTACCAGCAGAATGGTGCTCGTATGCACACACACAAGCGCACAGTTTTTCTGCATAGAGGCAGAAGTGAAACAGTGCCCTCTTTGTAAAATGAAGTAGACCTGAATGAGAACAGGGATATCACATGATTTAAAGGCTAGATTTTGTCAAGTGAAGGGTGTCACTTAAACTACCCAGTCATCTCTGAGGATTGTAACTTCTTTTTTTTGTGACTTTAGGCAATGGATTGCTAGAAGCTTTTTGTTAACTGTTTCCAGTACCCTGTCAGAAACTAAGCTTAAAATTCTTGAACAACTTTGTTTGTATGGATGTTTTGGGGTTGTTCTTTTTTGTTTGTTTGTTGTCTTTCACTCTTGTTAAGATGTAGGTAGTCAGGAAAGGGCAAAATGCAAAATTTACCCAGGAAAAAAGGAAAACAAGCATCACAGTTCAATCAAACAAAATTAAAAACAAATTGCTAACAAAAAAAGAAACCCCACCATCTGAGGCTGGATGACCAAAACAACATTGTGTTTGTATATATGCATACTTACACATACATGTACATACAAACAAACGTAAGCCCCAAGCTGTTTTCATTAACAAACAAAATCCCACCTTTACCAGTGATGATAATAGTGCTTTCTGAGCAATTTAATAACTAGCAAAAAGCATACTAAGAATAAGAACTTAAATTACAAAGACAAGCGTAACGGCTTAAAAATAAAGTCAAATTCATTTGGTAAATAAGAAGTGAGTATTACTGAGATAATTATTCAACTCAATTAACATTTAAAATTGAAAGCTAGCTATTCTGCCACACCCAAGAGCTATACCTGTCTTAAGTGGTTTACTAGATGCACAGAAGCCTGTGCCTAATGTCTCATGCACAGAAATCATATTTAACAGAATTTGGTTCATTGCTTCTTCTTTTAAGCAGGTAACAAATATATTTCAGCAGAGACAGCAAGAGCTGTGCACTTTCTTATTGGCAATAATTATCACCCTGGAAAGAAAATACACCAGCCAAAGGCCTTTTCTGAAATTAGCTGATGTTTTCCTTTTACTTACCACACATTGCTATCAAGGCCTTCAATTCGTCTTGTGTTTTTGTGTCTAAAGGCCATTGTCTGCAAGATCAAAATATACAGATAGGGGGGCTTTGTTAAGAAAGACAAAGTACTACATTGTTGGATCCTGCATGACAAACCCTCCTTCGTGCCTTCTGAAATATACCACTGCCAACTGAATTCAGTTCTTTCTCAAAATTATAGACACGGTCTTTCATTAAAGCTTCTGTTAAAGCTTGAACACAGATGAAGAAGAAAATACATTAAAAGCCTCAGAAATCCTCATTCATCACTATCTAAAACTGAATTGGCAGCAAGGACGGATGAGGAGCATCGTTTAGCTCAATAGCTTCAAAAAATGATCTAAAAATAAAAATTGGAATAAATACATTCTTTGTTTTTTCTACGATACGCTAATATCTTAACAGCTGGTTTTCTTTCATGCCCGATACAGCTTGGAAGTTTCTTTTTCAATGTAATTTTATTTGCCAATATGATGGTTAGCAAGAAAACAGGAAAGGTGGTTCATATTACAACACAAACACTTTAGAATGTGTCTTTTTGCTGTATATTAAGACCACTACTGAAGGTTTTAGGAAACTGCTCTAGAATAGACCTCACAGTTCTCCCTGTAAACTTTTTAATAATTCTGGTACTAAAAAAAAAAAAAAGGAAAAGAAAAGAAGAAGAAAATTTGGGAAAAGAAAACCATCAAATTTATTTGTATGCACAAGCAACAAAGAAAATAATCATAAAGCAGTGCATGTCCATTTCTGTCTGGAAATCAGCTTTACACTTGAAAAGCAATTCACATAGAAAATAAGACCCTTAGGGCCCCAAACACTACAGTTTCTTTGAGTCAGAATACTAATTTTAGGGACTTTTACCACTGTTTGGTATTATTCATTTATGAAGGATTCAAAAACCATACTCCAGCTACCACGCTTTGAGAAGGACTAAATACCTGAGTTGCCATTACGTTTAAAGTTTCAACTTTGAAACAGTGGGATTGACTCACAGCTGTCATTTCATGCAGGTACGTGTTTGTCCTCAATCATTTTACAGTAATGAAGCTCCTACATGTGTAACAATTTGAAACATGGGAAAACAATTAATAAACTAACATATTTTGCTGCTCATTTGTTTTCTGCATGGATCTAATTCTGACCTCATCTGTAAGAGACAATCATCCAAAGAACAACACATAGCAGGACATCTTTTGTTTATCCTCAGGCAGCAAACAGTAACTAGACAGACATACACCATAGTTAAGAGTGAGTTTTGACTGGGTGATCAGTACTGCATCTATTAAAAACATGCAGTTTAGAGGATGAATCCAATTTTACAATGTTTGTCTTGGTAAATACGATTAATGTCTGCCAGTACTGTATAAATACCAGTAATACAAGTTAAACTGAGCCCTTCTCCACATACACTTCCTTTTTTTTTTTCTCTCCACATGCAGCACTACTACTCACACTATAACAAATAAGAAACATTCTTTGAAACTTTCCAGCTAAAAATGAGAATTCTGTACAGTGCCATGGGAAATTTGTTCTATTGATCAGCTCCTCCTAAAATTGTCTCAATTCACTAAAAGTCTTTCCACTGTAAGACTTTATCCTCAACTGTAACATAGATCTTAACTTCAGTAAGTAATATCCCATAGCTAAAAATATGTAGGCAAGTAAAGTAAGCCTGTTACAGTCCACACACTACCTTACGTTTAAACAGTACTTCAGGTCTACTTTTTTTCTTTGTGCCTTGAAAATAGCTTCAAAACAGAGCAACTAAACTTATACCAGTTTTCAGACGTTCAGCTTACAGTAGAGCTCACAATGCCAGCTACTTTGAGAAAGTGAACAAATAACACTTATAAATGATACCCTAAGGAGCATTCTTTCTTCTAAAAGGTCATGAGAACTCTGAAGGTTCCTTTTTAGTGTAGCCCAATTACATCACAGCTTGATAATCTTCAAGCCTTTTTTGCGTGCAGAGCGAGGACTGCCATGAATTTAAGATCAGTGTTAAACTAAGAGCCATGTCCTTATCAAGCTCTAACTCTAACCTCCTGCTTTCCCTAACACTGATTGCTTTAGATGGAAAGTCAAGTGCTGCTTGTATTTATTCTTTTTCATAATACAAAGAAACTTGTGAGCAAATTGAATGGCAATACTGTTTGTGTTTACTGCTTAATGACAGAAACACATATTTGTACATAATTAAATTGTGGAATTCAATGTCAAGAGTTGCAAATGAAGTTAAAATCTTAAGTAAATTCAAAAATAAAGACAGGATGACATTTCAACTTGGTCAGTAAGAACATCCAGGTACTTTAAACAGAATAAAAATACAGCACAGGAAAAATTGACTTAAGCCAAATCTGACTTCCCAAGTGACTTATATGTGAAAACAAGCCTCTCATTTGAGCGAACTATGCTACAGTTATCTGTATAACAGCTTCAGCAGCTGTTCTATAGGATCTGACACGTGCCTTGGTTGATCCAGCTTGCTAACCAGATGAACTGCTCTGTGACCTGGGAGCACAAATGACATGCCAGAGTTCTATACACAACACCAAGCTTAACCTCTAGGCACACACCACATCACAATGCTTGTTTTCTCTTAAGCTGAAGTTAAATAATCTCAAATGCAGTTAAGCAGGGAAATTAAGGACATTCTATAAAAAATTAAGCTTGCAGTGTTTTTATATCCCTTGCTATTGCAGCATCAAAAAATCACAACTAACCCTGCTGAATTAACAGAAAGCTGAGATACAAAGGAATTGACGTACCGAAGTTCTGTGATAAAGCTGGCAGGAATCACTCCTACATCTCAGGCTAATGCTCTAACAGTTAGGCAATCCTTTCAGCTCCTACCTGTAGCACTGACCTTAAAAACTGAAATGGTTATACACAGCAATAAGTGCCAAATTCTGTTGTGTTCACGAGGTTAAATATTTAACTTGTTAGAAAACTTACTTTAGCCTTAATATTAAATGCTTGGGTCAAGGTAACTAGGAGTAAAGAAAATACAGCTGATGTGTATTTATTGGCAGCATTACAAAAATCAGTGCCTCACTAAAACATTGCACAAAGTAGTTTTATCGATGAAGTAGATTGAATACTTACATCAGAGGCTGAAAGCTTGATGGACCTAGAAAGTAAATTTGTTTGTAGATGGTACGTTCCAATGCCACGGCAACAGAGGCTTCGTGAAACAAAAAGCATGCCTGTATAACAAATAAGTAATTTGAAAAAAACCCTTATATTGCCAGAACAAGTTTCCTAAACATCACCAAGCATTTTTAAATGATAAAACCTTCTCCTCCTGTCAGTGTTTTTCTTTCTTTGAAATCAATTCTAGTAAATTATTACCTTATCACATTCTATATGAATCAAGGATGAAACTGTAGCTGATAATTAAAGTTAAAATCTTTCTGGCTGTCATACAAAATGAAGGTTTCCTCTATTTGAGAGCAATAACCTTTCTATTTTTTTCCTTACAATGAAAATTAAGACTTAAATGCAAATGAAAGTTTCTGTTAGAACTGTGAAAATGCATTTGTCTAATACAAATTGCTATCAGAGTTGACAATTTATACACAATATAAAAAGGACCCAACATTAAAACCAGTCTCAATTTTCAGGTGTTTCAAATTCAGCATTTAGAAACTGAGATAACGGAAATGACCAGTCACGCTGGAGTAGCAGGTCTATGCAATTTATGTAAAACTAAAGAGTTTTGCCTCAATGACTTGGGCAAACATTAAATATTTAGCATGGCTGAAAATAGCCAGAAAGGATGTTCTGCATGAAGTAACAGATAGTTCGCTGGCTGCAAAAAACAAGCCCTGTTAATCAATGACTGCAAAGAGATATATGAGCAGATACCTCAGGTAGCTACTTCCAAGTTTGTTTAAATATATGCATCAGATGGCAATGTGAAAATGAACTGAATTTGTAAGAGAAAAACATAGGAGCTTTTCATTAGGAACAATGGATTTGTTCCCATAAAGCAGTGTTCCTTACACTGAAAATGTAAATAAAGGTCACCTCCTTCTAAGGATGCCTCTTATAATACGTTTTAAAAGTATGTTATTTTGCCTTTCTTTTTCCAGTACTACAAACTCAGTCTCGGTTCTGAAATTAAGGTCCTTCTGACACGACACTGAGTTGTACCTAAGACAATTAGAACCTTGAGAATATCCATAGAAGCCCATGGCATTTAGTGATCTGCAAAAATGTAATTCACTGATTTTCCTTTAAAAGCAGAAACAGTAGCAATGTCCTCAACTCTGGTGGCCAGAGGACTAGAAAAAATACACAGCCATTAAACATTTCACACCAGTCAGCAGATACCCTGAGAGACACAAAAGAAATATATATGTTTAATAAGACCTGTAACTACATTTAAAGTTACTTTAAATAATAGCACTTAGCATATTTGACATAAACTTTGGTAGCTATAAAGACAAAAAAGATCGTGAAGCCCTCCTGGTTGTGTGTAACGTATGGATTCTATCTTATGTTGACTACAGCAACAGCACTACTCTCCCAGGGTGAGATGAGTGACAGAGATAACCTTACTTTTACAGCAAACAATTGCAGTAGTTATTGCACTGTGACAAACAGGCAAATCTTCACCTGGTCATTTTATACTGAGCAGTAGCAAGATGATATAAAAATTTTCCAAACTCAACATGCAAAGTTAACTTGCAACCTCAACAGAAACAAAAAAAAAAAAAGGAGTCTAAATATCAATAGCATTAGTGCCATGCTGCACTAAAGGGTAGTGTGATATTTGACAAGGCATTACTTGCTGTGAGGCAGTCATGCAAAACTATAGCATGGCATGAAGAACAGCAGACCTGTATCACTGCAGTGTGGTCAATCTCTGAAGGTACATGAAAAACACCTGAAGTAAAAATTGATATCCACCTTTAATGACAGACAAGTGTAAACTGAAAGTTTTACGAGGAACAGAAGGGAAAAAAACATTTCTGGAATACATGGAAATAGTGGGGAGGAGAAAAAAAAAAAAAACAGCTTCAACAAGGAAAGTCAAGGTTTCAGTATGTAGTTCTGCTACACTGAAATACTTGTGATGCTTTTCCAGGAAATGCTCTTCCCTCATCTGCAACATGGAATGCTTGCTCTTAAGCAAAATTTTAAGGAAATAAAGGCAAAGGCCTGCTACAGTCGCCAGATCTCAAAAAGAAAACATGACCTACTCTTCTTTCTCCATGCACACACATTCCCATTGTTATTGTATATAACACGTTAACACGTAACACAGGCTCAAAAGAATTATTACTTTTAGAACCAGCACACACTTAATAATTAGCTCTGTCCATGTTTTATAATGTCTGCTGGTAACTTTTTCTCATCCCAATAAAGTTTCTTCCAGTAAAGTTACAAAATGCTTCTGATGAACTCATTTCCTCCCTCCCTCCCCTCCTTTCAAACTACAGGCCAAACGCTGCTGTCCCTTTATATGTACCTTCAGCTATACCACCCCTATAAAATACATCCACTGTTATACTTCTGCTTAACATCTGTTGCGTACAGAAACGTAAAAGAATGCGGTATCTTGGGCAACCTTTATGAATTCTTTGAAAAACTGCATCATTGTACAGAGCCAGAGAAGGAAAGCGTCAGAGAAGAGAGGATGCCTCCTTACAGACTCCTCACCACAACGCTTTTTCTGCCACACAGAAGCCATTCGTGACAGACCAGGCCAAGAGAACAGCTGCTGAAACTGCTGAACTGTGGGAGGCTGGGTATTTTAACAAAGGCCACTGAAACTTAACAACTGCTGCACGCGACAACGTTTCGTCCCTCTCTTGTCCATTCTTTGCAAAACGAAGACAACCGAACGCAGAGAAACAAACTTCACCACGCAAACAGAGCAGAGGGATCAAAAGGGGCTTCGCCGATGGCTGCGGCGCTTAGTCATCTCACACTGCGCTTATCGTCACGCTGACACGCACCTACCAATGCGTACTCTCAACGTGAAGCACCCCGAGCTCACAGCTGGAAAGGCGCCAACACACCGCCCGGCCAGCCGCCTCGGCCCCCGGCTGCGCAGAGGCGCAACGAGCCGCTCGGGGAGGAGCCTTCAGGCGTCCTTTCAGCCCTGAAGAAGAAGCAGCAGCCTGCCGCACTTCCGACGGTCCGGGACCCGCCCCCCGCAGAGGGCCAGCCAATGGGCCAGCCAACCAACCAACCAACCAGCCAGCCAACCAGCCAGTCAGCCAGCGCGGCCGTTCCTCCCGCCCAGCCGCCGCCGCGCTCCGCCTACCGGGAAGAGCCGCCCGGGTTCAGCCCGGTAGCCCGAGGGGAAGAAAAAAGCCCCGCTGCCCTCTGAGTTCCCGCCAACTCCCCTGAGGGAAATGGGGACTGCGCGGTGCCCAGAGCTCGCCAGCGGGACGGGCCTCAGAACGGGCCGCGAGCGGCCGAGGAGAGCGCAGATCCGCGCGGGCCGAGCGAGGCGCGGCCCGGCGCCTCACGAGAGCGGGAGGGCGGCGACGGCGGCTCCGTCCGCCGTCCGGGAGCGATGCTCAACCCGCGGCCTTGGCGTCCCTCCTGAGGGCGAGGTGGGCGCCGGAGCGCCGCGTGAAGTGTTATGCCGAGAAAGGTGGCTGAGGTGGAGCTGGGCGCGGGCGCTGCTGGCGTGTGGTGAGATCCGGGGGAAAAGCTGGTGCTTACAGAGCGAGGCACGGGAACGCGGCTGAACGTTTTAAGAAAGCTGGTGCTTTCCAAGTTGTGGCGAACTATTGCCTGTTTGAATTACGATTGCCCAGATAACTCATACTCAAAAGTACTTATCTTGATAAGAAACCACATACAAAAGTAACCTCCTGAAAAACATAAGAATTGACAGTAGGCCCGTGCAAACTGTGCTGATTACCCTCTTGGACTTTTTTTTAGGAGGGAATTAAATGTCCATATTGTTAACACAGACCTCATACATAAGTTCACCCCTTTGAAGAATGAGATTTTCTCGAAGTGTCCCATGAATTCACAGGATTTACATTGCTAAGCTTCCACACACACGGAAGCTACCCCACTATTAAATGAGAGCTGAAGTCGCTGGAAAGTGAAACTTCAGACAGCTGTGGGTACCATCATTTGGGAGCACCCTGACTGCTTTGAGTCTTGCTACCATTAGGTGTATGACATCACAGAAAGTTTCCTTTAATTGTCGCTAAATTTGATTATTTACTTAGGGAAAGTTACACTTAAAATGTCTCCTTCCCAACCTTGTTTTTTACAAATCTCGACAAAACCGGTTTCCCTTCTATCAACATCACCATACAGAATTCTAGGAAAGAATGAGCATGTTTTGCAACATTGTGATCTTATCATCTAGTATCTCAGACTGCTGCACAGCCAAAAGAACCTCACGTATCAGATTCTTACAGGGGTCTGTAGAAGCAACAGGACATTACATGTCAAATTCACTCCTTGCTCTAAAATCTGATAAAGAGAAATATTTTCTTGAAGATCTGTGCATAAGATACTTTTCATAGCAAGTCTTACTTGTTTCATTTTTAAATTTTAGAACTAGAAGAGTTCTTAGTGTACCAGTAACAGTCTGAAGAGATGGGTTAGCAGGCAGAATGTTAGCAGGTATTTTTTAAATCAGACATAGAAGGAATATCTATTACTTGGATATCATTACTGCATGTGTCATATTATGTATATAACCATTATAGGTATTTATGTATCATAAAATAACCAGAGCAGATTGAAAAAAATTTGTCATAGGGTGAACTAGAACATGTCTACTTGGCTGTAAAAGCAATCTCAAAAAAAGTAATATTAAGAAAGGAGATCTAACTGTGGTTTTGATACTAAACATAGTACACAAAAAAAAAAAAACCTTAATACTTTATTATTTTATTCTCTTTAGTGCTTTTTTAGAAGTTTAGCTGTCTCAAGCACAGTGCTCCTGCTGCTTGCAGTTCTGCACTTTTAGACGTAATCTCTGCAAGTATCCATTGGAGGGCAGCAGATCACAAACTTTGTCGTGTCATAGCACAGTTTAAAAAAAAAAAAAAAGTTCAGCTTTCTGTTGGCTATTTGCAACATCGGCGCCCAGGTTTTTCACAATCTCTTGTACAAGGCAGGCATAACTGGGAAATCCATACAATGGTATTTTCTCTAGGTTTGACTTATGTGTCAAAGTCCACTGTAATGGTAGCGCCCTATGAAAATCTCAGTGGGTACTTCTGCTAACACTCACATTAAGTTGTTTTTTGTTTTTTGATTTTTTTTTTAAAGACATCCCAAGTAACTCACATTCAGTTTAGAAGCACCTCATTCATTTTGTGACTGCAGTGTAAGGCCTCCTGTTTTTTTTTTGTTTTGTTTTGTTTTGTTTTGTTTTGCAAAATTTATGCATGGTTGTCATAACTGCATAAGACATCTTCATCCACTAGAAGTAAGATTTAGTGCATTTTTTAATTAATTTATTTTAATATAATCCTGCTGCATCTTATTCGTAAAGAAGAAATGGGAGCTAGGAATCTGTACACTTTCAAATAGCCTAGTGGGAAGCAGTTCATTTGAAGAGGAGATAATTACTTCAGTAGATGCCAAATTACTTGGCATCTGTGGATGCTATTAACAGTCCATAGAAAAATCAGCTGACTGCAGCTAATTTTTGTCTGCTGAAGATTTCTAGCCTAGTTACAGCATGTAAGACTAATTAAACTGGATATTGGTGAAATCAGGTAGAGATGAAAAACAAGAAATTTAGGTCAGGTTTCTCTTGGGATATAGCCAGTATCGTGTTATGCAAGTCATAAAAACAACTTTACACATGATAGTACAAAAATGGGTATTATTTCCTTTATATATAAACTTAGAGTGCCAGCTTTTTTGTCAAGAGGAAAAAGTACTCAGTGATGGGATGCATAGATCTCGGCTGCTAACAAGAAATGGATAAAATCCTGTTTTTCTGATCAGGAAAGTGACCAGACAACACGTGAGAGATTTCTTTGCTCATGATTCCTCTACTTATTATTTTTTCTTTCTCAGGACTGCACAGCTATCAATTGTGCTAACAATCCCCTTCCAATCAAAAGCACAGGAAGACATGCTGATGTTTGCAGCATTTTAATGCCAGTCCTACATCCATGCTTCTGCAGTAGGTTAGGCAGGACACCCACACATCTCTAGACATGAGTAACCTGGAGCCTCTCAGCTCCAGGTTAGGGAGGCATCTACCTTATTCCCAGCCCACTGCCAAGCTGACACTTCACAGTCTGCCTTGTGTCTGTAAGCCCTATTCAAGAGAAACAATGTGAGTCTTTTCTTTAGGAAATGTTTACTAAAGTGATGTTCTAGGAAACTAGTATACGGTAATGAGCAAAACGTGCAGTAATGCAGGTTAAGGAGTATTGACCAAATATCTTGCAGGCCCAATTTTATTCCTACTGAAGCCAGCCAACATCTGGACCGGGGAGGTTGTTAATACCTGACTGCTTCCACGCTTTGTGACTAACACTGGATTGCATCATGGGAGTCTACCAAGCTGGAAATACTTCAGTGAGTATTTCCTGTATTTCTCAGTATGCAGCATTAAACAAATGCATAAGAGTTTTCAGTCATTTGAAGTGAGGTGTTCAACTTGTGTCTAGATATTTTTATGTTTAGATGTCCCAAATATGTCCTAAGGAACATGTCATATGACACCAGGCTATAGGCATTTATTGTTTATTTTTATTCCCATTCAAGATAAATGTTTGGGTTTGGCTGTTGGAGGTTTGTTTCTTTGTTTTCCCCTGGTAAGCTATACTATAATAATGTACTTACCACTTGCACTATTTTAAAAAATGTATCATAGCTAATTACCTTGACCTCAGAGTTCAGATTATACTGGCTTTATTGCCTCTAAAGATCTAATCTTAACAGGTAATGGGAACACTCCAGTTCTAGATTACCTCATATGCTGTGTATATCTAAGAAAACTGAATGCAACAGCAGAGTGAAGGTGGTGGTGGATAACTGGTATTTCTTATTATCCATAAACAGATTAATGCTCATTTATTTAGATGCTTTTCACACTGATAAAGCTGATTTTGTGCTGGCAGATTCCAGAGGTGCCTTCTCTGATTATAAACTTAGGAAAAGATGCTTCAATATAACAAACCTTAGATTAGAAATACCTTTCTAATACCTTTCCTTTCTCCAGGAAAAAGGCAAATTTCTGTTTGAGATGTAGGATCTAGTCATCTACCAGGAAGGAAGTCTCTGGCATTTTTACTGGTAGGAGCTTCAAATAGTACAGAACTGGTGTTTTACCCTTCTGGAGGAGTATCTAAAATAAATTTCTCAGTTAAATCATTGGTCAAGCCACACTTCAGGAAAGGAGACTGAAGTGAATGAGAAAAGTCCAGAATGAAAGTGTGCTGGAAGGAAGAAATTGTTTTTTTTTATCTTTTGACCTAGAATCTTCTCTGAGGATCTGAGGCCACATGGTACCAAGTAAATCCTGTTATATTTTAAGGTCAAGTTAAATGAAGAAGATCTTACACTGGCTGATCCCAAATTGTTTTTTTTTGTTGTTGTTGTTGTTGATTCAATCAATTTTAGTCAAAACAAATTGGGGAGTAACATCCCACATATGCTAAATTACAAGTTCTATCATGAATTCCTGGAGCAAAGACAGCTGGGGACTATCATTACCAACAGGAGCTTAGTTGAAGGAAGTGACTCTCTTGAGCTGTCTCAGTTGACATTAGGGCTGTGTGCCTACAGCCTAACAAGTAAAGCAACAGTAGTTACATAGAACACCATAACAAATAGTTCCTTACTGGAGAACTTTAGTTTTCAGTTTGTTAACATCCACAGCATGAAGCTGTCTCCAGACAAGTTCTGGATTGACTAAAAATACAAGGCTCTGCAGAAATGCTAGGCAAACAGAAACATGTTAATAAAGTATTTTCTATAAAGTTATTTTGTCTCTGTGTAAAGCAAACGAAATACAAGAATTAACACAGAATAAATGAAAGGAAGACCTAGGATGCTTGCAAGTAATTTGAATGCATGAGAATATACTGAAACATATGTGACACAGGCTTTTAAGAGCTAGAATCTTAACTGCATTTTGTTGAATTGTAGTTATAATGTACAGTGAAGTCAGAGCATTTGTAAACAAGAGCAAATAGCAGTACATAATACTATAATTTGATAGAAAGTATAGCAATAACAGCAGAATGAGACCAAGCCCAAATACAGCAGCTATAGACACAGAAACAAATGAGGAAAAGGGAGGGAAAAAAAAAAAAAAAAAAACCAAACAACCCTTAAATGAGGTCTGGGAAGGGGGTGGATCTTGGTTCCACCCCTTCCAGTCACTTAGGGGCATTGCTTGCACCTGAGTTGCTTGCACCTGGGTTGGCCCTGCCTTCCCCCCAGGTGCTCAATCACTGTTTGAGGCTATGACTTGGCATTTCTGTTACGCAGTAGAATCCCAAAGCTTAAAAATAAAATAATTTTTGCTAGTAGAATATGAGCATGCACTGATCAGTGATAAGTAATGCGGTATTAAGTGTCATATGTGAACTGTTAATGCTCGTAGAGTTTGTAGAACTAATAAACACTTACTTTGTGTTGAAAGCAGTTAGGGAATAAATACTTGTTGTTAGCAGCTCTGTTTACTTGAAGTCCACCTCCAGATTTCTTGAAAAGTTTCAGACAAGACTTTACAATTACTCAGTAAAAATAAGGTGCTACGATCACCAGGACAAAAGAATGCAATGCCATGTAAAAGAAGCAGAGAATAACCTTATTCTTTGGCGTTTAAAACACAGATGATGACTGGAAAACATACTGCTTAAAAACACTGTTTATCCTACATTATACTGTATGTTTTTTAATTTCCTTTCCCTCTCACTGTTACTCAGGATGTCTCCTTGATCCCAACATGCTAGTTTCTTCTTTATTCAAGCCTTTTGTTTCCTCCCCAAACTCTTTGAAAACATTTATTTCACAAGAGATATTTCTTGTATAATATTTTCTAACTAGCCTTTCTCTCTGCTTAGTACAGGCTTTGTTCTGCACCTAGAAATTACCTACTCTGTAATCACCTGTTTCTTGTCTTTGAATGAAGGTTTATTCCATATCACCTCAGTACAGCCTTCAGCATTGTTACCCGTTCTACCTTTCAACACTGCATACCACTTTGATCAAACCTTCTGACAATTTTTTTTTCTGTGGAACTTCTCTGCCTCCTGTTCCAAAGTACATTTCTCTGACTAGGAATATTGTTTTAGGATTGTATCTTTATTATCTGCTCCCCTTAAACTATCTTTCATCTATTCATCATCATCCTATGTTTTGAAGTCCATCAAAAGCCTTCGTTGAGCAGAGTATGTGAACAGAATCGTTGTTCAGCAAAATGTGTAGTTGACTTTATGTTGTGTTTTTATAACTGAGTTAAAAGCACATGTACTCTTGCACTGGGTCCAGTTCCTAGAGATGATGAATGAGGTGCAACCACACTCATTTTTCTCCCTCTGACTCTTCCTCCTCCCTCACTTGGGGGCACTATTCCAACAGATTTGAACTTAAGACAACTATATTTGAAAATGAAAGTTTCCATCAAAAAGTGCTCTGAAAAGTGATATGCTGGTTATTACTATTTGGAACAGGTGGCCAGATAAGAAGCATAGCACTCAATTAAAATTCACTCTACCACTTTTCTTGGTTTCTATTAGAGTCTTTTAAGGTGTGGCACATACCCATGATCAGCTGATGCTGGATCAAATTTTTATGACTATCAAATTAATTTGATAAATGAGGAAGGCTGTTGCTAGATTCTTACTATCCAAAGCTGTCAGGAGGGAGCATCTCTTGCTGTGCCTCGTGGCACAGGACCTGGGCAGATCTCTCCAGTGCGAGTGCAGCTGTCACTATCCACAGATCCAGCAGAGGGAAGTGTTGTTCTAAAATATGCACCCCCACTACTTGTGGGTAGTACTTACAAACTGCAAGTCACAGTACTGCACCAGGAGATCAATGATCTGGAGCGTATGAAATATGTGATTTATAAATTCTCAGAAGACAAAGAAGCTTTAGCAAATGCCAGAAAGAGCAAGCATGATAATAATCAGGATTTGCCATGGACAGAAATGAAATTATCTGTAGATCTTTGGAGCTTAAATGTTTTTATTCTCTTTTGGAGAACAAATGTTTGTGTGGCATTTTAGAGATTAAAGGGTTATGATCTGATGGCTTGTGCTTCAGCTAGCTGTGAAGCTTTCATATTAAAAGATGAGATCTTGAAAAACACGTGGTCCAAAATATACTTGGTGATCACAAGGCAAGTTGTCTTAGAAAGCTTTATTCAAAAGGTCTGGGTTCATTTCAGATAATTGCTTCCAGAGCAATTGTCATTCATGATGCTGTTGCTCCAACAACTCCAAGCAGCACTGGAGGGCTAAAAGTCAAGTATAATGTCACCTTTGTGAAAGAAAGTTCAATTAGAAATATTTTAAAGTGAAAATTCAATGTCAAATATTACCCATCTAAATATATAATACCCTGTGTAGCTTTGTCTTACTTATTCCATCAAATTTCCAAGGAGTATGTGAGTGAAGAGACTGAAGTGCATGCTCAAGACAGCCATTAGTCATGCATACCATTTGAAACTGTAATTTCTTCTGAAGCTCAGAGCTGGTTTTGTAACACCTAAGCATCAAGTTAAGAAAGATCAGGGGATGGCATGATGTGTAAAATGAAACTCAACTTTTCTTAGAGTATGGTAACTGTGGAGTCAGTGGTTGAGCACTTGGGGAAAAGACCTGGGAGCACAGGTGAAGACAATTCAGCTGTGTGACCGGAAGGGGCGAAGCCTGGCTGCACTTCTTTTAGACCTCATTTAAGGGCTGGCTGATGCAGGGAAGGTTTTTTTGGTTGGAGATCCATTTCTTGGGAAGTTTCTATTGTAAGCCTAGGTTTTCAGAGACAGGTGAGCACTTTTACTTTTGTAATATCTTTCTGTTTGTTTGTTTGCTTTTTTTACATTTAAATTGTAAGATGTTGGTTTTTGTGTGTCTTATAAATGTCTAAGATGAACTATTTAAGCTTGAAGAATGTTTTCCAGATAATGCTGTTTGAAAAATATCAGAAGGCGCTCACCCTAATATATTTGTTTTAGGACAACTCTAAAGATGAACTTACCCATTGGGTTTACAGCTGGGAGTTGTACAGCTAAAAACAGCATTGGTCTTAAGTGGGCAGTGTGGGCTCAGAGGTCATTGTCCAGAGACCTATGGGGTGTGATAGATAGGTTGAGTGCTCCCTCTGTGGATCCTCAGGAGCTATTCAGCAGCAGAATAAATAGAACCAAAGGCAAATTAAGTTGTAATCTGTTGCTCAAGCAATTAGAACCTCATAACCATTAGGTGAAGTTCCAACTGAATATTCTTCCTGTTATTTTTATCACAACAGAGTGTTCCTGGTTTTGTAATCTAATGAAATAATAATTTATCTTCCTAGCTTATTACTGATAAAAAAAAAAAAGTGTGTCAGGTCTGGCAGACAGACTTTTCATTCTTAGTAAGTAAGAATAAAAATTATAGAATACGATTACAGAATAAAATATATCTATTTTGCTCACAAAAAGGGTAAGTAGTTCCAATATGATAAAACAGATTAAATCATTAATCAGGGAAATGCTAGCAGAGGAGGTGATTCATATTGATGTTGCAGTCAGCTAAGGAAGATGCAAGTCAGGAAACAAATAGGACTGCTGGCCTGACTGATATTTACCAAAGTTCAAGAATGATTTTTGGAGAAGAAGCTGCAGAAAATGTCTCGTTACCATCACTGTAACACACTGTAACACAACAGCATCTCCTCTGAGGTTAAAATACCACTAATTGGAGTCTACCACTGTAAGTGAAAGCTATCAGCCTGAAGTAAATACAAAACAAATACATTCTGCACCATGATAACAATATGGCTGCAAACCAGGAAAATGAGCATGCAATTTTTTACGATGTATCTGTTTGTATTAGTGTAGGTTCGGATTAAAGTGCAAGCTTCAGTTTCAGTAACTAGTTTCACTTTGGACTCAATTGTCATGAGTTTCAAAACCTTTTTTGCATGGCAGTATATTTTAATAGCCCTTCTAAAAGCTGAAACTAACAGTAGTACCTACACGTGTGCTCGATATGTTTTAGAAATTATTATTTTCACAAAGATTTGTGCCAATGCTGCCTAAATGAGGGGAGGTTTGTGTAGATGTGAGGAAAAGGATTGCTTTGAAAATAGATGTAAAGCTGATGACAAGACAAAGGGCAAACATTTTATATCAGAATGTAAGGAACGTAATTATGTTGTAACTAGGATTTTGAGTAGATATTTGCAGTGGAGTTAGTAAAAATCAAAATATTGCAGGAGAATTACTTGAGTACATTCAGCTGTTTGTGTGCATAACTAAGAGAAGGTAGAAACAACCCATTTTTCCCAGCTCTTTGTAGGAATCGAGGCAGAACTCCAATTTTTCTTCTGTGCTTCATGCATTTAGCCCAGAAGAAGCAGCCTTTGCAGACATGCTTGAGGGAGGGAATCACCTGACAGCTGGAGAAAGAGAACAGGAAAGTCAAATAAACTTCTGGCGGTTTTTAAAGTGTTGTGTGTACCTGTGGCTTTTTTAATGTCATCTGTTTTTGACTGAAGTTGAATAGCTGAATTAGGGCCTTGCTGTGCAGCCCGGCGGCTTTCGGCTATCCCTTTCATGAAGGAGGGCGCTCACTGGGCGTGCCTGACCACAACAACAGGGCTGCAGCTCTGCAACGCGTGCGGAGGTGGGAAAGCTCAAGCTCGCTTAATGCACGCATTCACTTTTTATTTGTTTTAATGATCGCGGCCGGCAACGGTTGTTTTCTCACCTCTTTTACCTCCCACTTTATCTTGTCCGTTAGTCAGAACGCGGGGGGGGGCGGCAGCCTCCGCGCCACTTCCCCGGCTCCGGCCGGGCCTCGGCACGGGCCTCTTATCGCTCCCCGGCCGCTTCCGCCCCGTGCGGCCAACGCGGCCCGGCCGCGCGGCGCGATGCGGCGCGAAGGAGACCTGGGCGGGAACCGCCCTACCGGGCGGGCCGCAGGTGCGCGGCGAGGGGCGGGCCGGGCGCGGCGGCGCTTTTGTCCGCCGGAGCCGCCTCCCCGCCCTGGGGCCCGTCAGCGGTTCCGCCGCACGCGCCCCATTGGCCGGCGCGAGCGGTAACGTGACGGCGGGGCGGGGCCGGAGCCGAGAAGCGCCGGTTGGAGCCGGTGCCTCGCGCCGCGCTGCGGGCTGCCGCGCGGACGGGGCGCGCTGCTGTGCGGACCGCGCCGGGCGGGAGGCAGGAGGGGGGCGGGTGAGGCGCTGCGGGCAGGTAAGCGGGGGCGGCCGTCTCCGGCAGCGCCGCGTCTTCACCGGGCGGGAAGAACGAGACGGAGCGGAGCCACCGAGGGCGTCACGCAGCCCCGCGGGAGAGCGCGCGGCTCGCCTACCGCCCGCCCGCGGGAACGGGGCCCGCGAGGCCCTAGGGGCTGCCGCCCTTCCTCGGCCCCGCGCTGCGGCGGCGCTTACCTGCCTGCCCCGTGGGCCGCTGGGCTGGGTGCGGACCAGCCCCGGGGATCGGGGTGCTCGCCTGTGCCTGCCGGGGGGCCGCCCCGCCGCGGGCGGGGCCGGGTGGAGAGCGCTGCTCCGCTTTGCGTAACGGCGGCCACACGTGTCCTCGGGTGACCGCCGGACGCGGATCGCCCGCCGCTTCCCCTTTTTCGCCCCGGTGCGGCGTCACCTGCACCCACGGGCTGCCGCCTGCTCTCGGGCGGCTCGGAGCTGAGGCCCGGCCGTGCGTGGCCCCCCCGGGCTGCCTGGTCCTTTCTTCCTCACCCGGTGCCTCCAGTCCCCGTCCCGGCGGCGCGCTCCTCCCGTGTTCTTGCACCGTGGCTTTTGTTTGTCCTCGGACCGGGTGGGTTTGGTGGTGCGAGGCTGACTTCGTGCTGATCTGCTCTGTGGTGGAACTGAGGCAGCTCTCTGGCTCCAATTAGGACTTTGTGGTGAGCACTGCAATCAGCCGTTTTTATAGGAGCAAGGAAAGATTGAAGCTGCTTTCCCTGAAGCTTGGCTTTATACGGAGGCTGTCATTAGCGATGCTGGTCAAGTAACTGAACTGACGCCTAGTGTGGACATTTAAAGTACTTTCGAGGTAGTTCTTGAACAAAGTGGGAGCTGTGTGGTCATTTGTGATTTCGAGCATTGATGCTCCAAGTTCTGTTGGCTCTCAGCTTTCCTCATCAGTTTGCTGGAGCAATAAGGTGAGGCACTGGCTGCTTCCCAGTGTGTTAGAGACCTCCCTTCTGTACCTTCTCAGCAGCGAGGACATTTGGTCACAGAAATATTGGTGTGAGTCCTTAAATGTTTGAGGAGGTGCTCCAAAGGCTTAAGGGTTACAGTCCTATAGGTTATTGCTCATAAAACTTGGTGTGTTGTTTATGTGTGTGGTGTGCTGCTTTCACCTTGTGCCACTGAGCTGACAGGAGGATGGTGGAGTTCCCCTGCACCATGCTTTCCCTCTGTAGGGTGCAGTACTAACCAGCACAAGGAATGTGGCAGGAAGAGAGGGGCTGCAGCGTAGAGCCAGCAGCCAGGATTGGGTTCTGCTTCTCTGAAACATTTTTCCCTTGTATACTAAAATGCTTTGTTGTAGTAAGCAAACAAAACCTGAGTTCTAGCATATATTTTACACAGTAAAGAAGTATTTTACACAGTTACCTCCATTCGATTTCAGTAGGATTTCTGTAATCCATGGGAATTTGCATGTTTGTTCCCTTGTGCTCCTGAGAAATGAGCTTCTAGTCTGATTTTGCTATTACACTTTTTTAGGAAGATGGGATTCTGATCAGGGAGAAAAAGTTGCCTTTTGTTTCTTTTCAGTTACTAATACAACTGTTCTCTGAATTTGATGAAAGCACGTTGAGTAGATTCTAGGCAAGGATTGGTAGTGCTGAAGAGGCATCCCTCAGTAATTCAGCACTATGGTATGAGCCTCATTGAGCAGTGTATCGCTGCCAAAGAAGCATTTTTTAGTGGATTTCATGAATGAAAGGGAGGGTAGAAGGAAGGAAGCCTTGTGTTCCTTTAGAGGTAGTGGAGGAGGCTGTGGCTCCAGTGCTGCTACTATAGTGTACAATACCTACTGCTAAAGCCATAAATCTTTACTCAGCTAGGATTAGAAATGGGTATTTAATGTGCCTAAGGGGATAGAGTTTGCTTTATACTGGTCTCCATTGTCTGTTTCATGCTGCTATCTGTATCCTCTGCACTAACCTGTTGGGCTCTATTTGTTGTTCCTGTAGGCATCCTTGTAGCAGCTGTTCAGCTGTTGTCCTGCAAATAGTGTTACTGTGCCAGTTGCTCTTACAGTTCTTTTTTAAGAAGTTAGAGATAATTTGTCTGTATAACCAGAGTAGCAGTGTAGAAGAGCAGAGAGTGTGAAGTAGTATTAACATTTGAGCATTTAAAATTGATGTGATGTTAATGCTTAAGTGGGATAGATTGTATGTTACTTTAGGAACAGAAGCGTTTTTCTTAGTTTGCTAGTTAACAAATTACTTGCTTGATTCTTTTTAACTGGCAATAAATTATGGTATGCCCTGTCTAATAAAGGCTTGTGTTATGTGTGTGCAGAGCCACACATCACAAGTTTGTAACTGTGCTCTGTGGTAGCTGCTAAAAGCTTCTGAGAAGCTGTGGCCTTCATTTTGTTCTCCCTGCCATTGCCGTGTGGGCAGTCAGTGTCACTAATATCAGAAAGCTTGTTATGAGTCATGTGATCTGAAGTTACTGATAACTAAATGGCACTCTTGTATGCACTGTATTGTGTATGCGTTCCAGAAGCAGTCTTGTATGCAATCTTTGTTTTATTATAGTTATACTTGGACTTTTTTATTCTTTTCCCCAAAAGCTGTATAAAAGTACTATCAGTTGGATTCAGATTCTAACCAGTTGTAATCACATTGTAATTCAATACTGAACTAAAGTTTCAGAATACATATCAATAGTTTTCTACACTAGTTAAAGCTTACTAGTATGAAAAGATCGATTTCTGGTGGAGTAGTACACTGAAAAGAAGGTAGACAACATAGCTATCAACAAAGTTATTGCAAATGTGGCTGGGGTGTAATACAGGCATCTCTCCTCCAGTGCACACCAGAGAGGGTTTGGGGGCTTTTCAACAGTTGGAAGAGGATTGTGGAAAGAACTCATAATGGAGTGTCTTCCATTTAACTCTTGCTTTTGCCACTTGGTTTCAGAATACCACGTTCACACACACAATTCAATTGTCCGTGCTCTCATGAGTAGTGCTCGCATGCTCTGTATGTTTTATTACTGTAAATGGGAATGCAGTTTTTACGTACATAAGTTGAGGGTTTAGCTCATTATAAGAAGCAGAAGAAACTGAAAATGCTGATAAGGAATCTAATGGTACCAATAAAGAATATTGTAATAAAGCAATCTGGTTTTGTTGCTTCTGCTAATAAGCTTAGGACATTGTTTTGGATTGTCACGTTACAAATGCTATTTACTTGTTTGGGGATACTTATCTGAATTATGGTTTTAGTTCGTATGGAAGCTAAGCTTTGGTTCTGTGGCATAACAGCTGTAAAGCTATGGCCCTGTAGTTCATTCAGGCTTAATGAGTGACATCGATTTTAAAGCTCTTATTCAAAAACCTAGGAAATGTAACCCTTGATGCCCCAGACCTTTCTGCCTTATTTTTCTGAGGAAAATATTGTTATTTGCTGAGCAGTTCAGGATTTCAGATTCTTATCCAGATGTTGTATGGTAGATAAAGTTCTTCATGCAAATGTATACATCTACTGAGCTGGAATTTGAGAAGTACAAGTTTGGACTGTAATGCTAATATATTTTTCTTTAGCCTAATTGTTTCCTATGAATGCTATAGTGCAATCTGATGTATTTCAAGAAAGGGGCACTTAAACTGAAGCTGTCTGTTTCACAACAGATTTATATTATTAACAAGGGTAGTGATCTTTGACTCATAACAAATGGAAATGTGAAAGTGATTATCACTTTGTCAGTGCCTTTGCAATGCAGAAAAACTTTTCTGAGTGAGTGTCTTTTATTAAACATTAACGTTGCTTAAATACTAACTTTGCAATGACATTGACTCAGTCAGGAAAGCACCAAAGCTTTGCTTATGTGGCATATCCTGCCTCACTTTAGATGCTTTACTGAACTGGAGTTGTTATTTAGTTCTTTACAGCTAGGGGGCCGGAGTTTTTTACTTCAGAGCTCTTATTGACTCAAGTGATGGTAAAAACCTTGACTTGAAGTTATTACATTTTGCTTCATACTGAAAAGTGGTTTTTGTTCTTGCAGTAAAGCTGCATGGAAGAAAAAGAACTTGCCACTTTCTAGGTCTTTTCAGACAATCTGCTCATAAAGAGGTTTTGGAGCACGAAGGGCTGCACAGCATGGTTGGGTTTGATGGGTAGTATAAAGAGTAAATTTAAGTACTAAGCTAACTTTGCTCAGTTATCAAAGCAGGATTACTGCTGGTTTACTGTAGCATTCAATCCTGATCACTTGTACTTTGTTCTGAAACAGTATTGTTCTAGAAGATGTTTCTGGTAGATAAAGTTAGTGTTGCTTTTAACTGTCATGCTTGCACGTGGATGTGTGTTTTCAGAAAATGCAATGTTGCATAGTACATGCAATGTGGATATGAGTCCTTCAATCCTTTAATTTTATTAAAAGAGAAAATGTAGCTGGGTGCTTTGTCCTATTTATAAGTACGTAATAGTAAGTAATAGAAACAGATGATGGGAGATAGGAATGACTGTTCACAGCATGCTTTCTGCTGGAGTGTTAATAAAACTTATTCCGCTTCCATTTCAGGGGAATCAAAATTATGCTCTATTATTACTAGAATCAATACAAAATGATTTCTGAGATCAGGCAAAGATAATA